AAAGTTTAAATTAAAGAAAAGTATATATATATATATATATATATAATATTATTTTTTAAATGTGAGATAGTAACTATTTGTAAACCCCAATACTTACAATTTAAATAATTTTCAAAACCATAGCAGCTATTTAAAATAATTAAATGTTTAAAAGTTAAGGCAAATTGTAATACTTTAATAGACTATTGTAAATGAATTTTATTATCTTTGAGCATTGGTGAAACATTTTTAGAGACAGGAGCTAACCAAAAACTTTATGACATTAATTTGTTCTACTGAAATCTTTTTCAAGAATGCAATGCGTAAGCATTTAAAAATGACATATTTATGTTTATTTAAAGTAAGGCAGATTCACTGTAGCAATAAAAATCTAAAGTAAGAAAAAAAAGTTATTTCGTCACATTAAAAGTATTTAAACAGATAAAAAAATGTTATTAATTTAAAGGGTTTTTAAAAAAAGAGAAAAAAACAGTTTGGTTTATATATATACGGCTTAAACCATATTGGTTTAAATCAGCCAACTCTGCATTAAACTAACGTACTTAAAACCATATGACATGAAATAATTTTCTTTCGCTATAATACTTTTAATATATGGGTACTGTACTTACATAATATAATTCAAGATTGCTTAGACACTAGAGATTAAGCTTATATTTTGCATTCATGTTGGTACAAATAATATTTTTATTATTTTAAATCCTTCATTCTTTTTATCTGATAAAAATTATGCTAAACGCAAAAAGGAACTTAATGTAGATAAAAAGAGTATTTATATTTGAATGTTAATATCATGCCTGAAAATATTTACGAACAGTGAGGTTATGTTTTCATTTAAAATATCGGATGTATATCATAATATCGGATAGATATAAGATATTCGATATTTTTCATACTTTTAAGAATATCACGATATCTAGGAACCATGGATGCCCCTCCAACAGTTTTTTCGATCATTTCGAATCGTTAACCCTCAAAGTATTTAGGCGGTAGCAGTAACAAATTGCAAAACAATGTCGTAATAATTTTGTCTGCGACTCATACGCGAATGTAGAAGCTTGGTGTTATTATTATTGCGTATTTGGATTTCTCTGTAATTTATAATTCAGTACATATATTTCCAGGACTTTTATAATATTAGTTATTAGAAGACCAAAGATGTAGGCAGATCGAAAAAAAAAAACTTAAGTAAGAAATATGAAGGATAAATAAATAATCGTTAAATTAAACAACCACGAACAAAAAAAAATTAACATCAATAATTCTACAATTTGAAAACAACACAACTTTGACAACAAACTAAATAATACGCAATGTATTAGTTTTTATATAACATATAAGATTCTATTCGGAAGGTACTTACCATCCACGAAAAAGGTTATGCTTAAATAAGGCTTGGCAAAAATTCGATAATTTTTTTTACAATTGTAATTGCAGTAAAAAGAAGCGTAAACAGATTGTAAATGGTGTTATTTTTTTTCCTCCAACTTCCGCCATAGCAACAAATTCTTCCGGTTTTTATAGACAAGAAATTTTACCGCCTTATTAAAGTGGTTGCTCATGCACTTTTCACTCGCGATTCTTTCGACGGTTAAAAAAAAGAATGCAACCACTAAAAATTTACGAGACAAAACTCAATGTTAATACACTTATCATACAATTTACGCAGATCACTAAACTAAGTGGTTTCAAAAGATGTAAAAGTTTTAAGTGGTAGTTATTTTATAGTTGACAGTGGTGACAGAGATTCACCTTTCGAGTGCAAAAGGTGAAACTAGAGGTTTTTTGTTGTATCAACTTTTTTCATTACAGTACGAAGAAAGTATCGCCAAAAGTATACGCACAGTGAACCAAAAAAAAAATTCCACTCCATTGAATAGTTTTGGCTTTAACCATATGGTTTTTCTCATACTAACCCAGTTTCAAAAATGGATCTCAAATATGATAATTAATTAGTACTAACTAATAAGTCACGGAATTAGACACTAAAAGCACTTTCTCAGAATAATCATACTCTTTTTGTTGTTGACAGATTTGAATTATTGTTCTTAAGAATATGAATGGTAGCCGCAATTTGGAAAATAGGGTCCCATCAGCGGTCGTAATTTTTGACCCCTTATTACCCATTAGCAAAATGGGTCTTGTTTTGGGTTTGATGACTTGCTCACCTTATTTGGACGTCATCACACTTTTCAACTGTGTTCAAGCATAGCCACCGAGAAATACACCTCACGGTGGCTATGGTTCAAGGGTAATAGTAAACAGTGCGCATGCGTCGTCATTGCATGCGTTGCTATGGCGACCGCTGCTGTTTCATAATTTTTTTAGAATTCTTTTTTTTCACTTTTAATTTTGTTATGCATTAAGTTGGTAAGTTTATTTTTGGGATATGGGAGCACAGAGATCCCATTGATCCTTGCGAATAAAAGAGAAGGAGTTATGAATAAAAAAAGATTACGTCACATCATTTAAACGATATCTTTGTTTTTATTGTTTTAATTAAGAGTCAGAAATTCTAACCTACAGTTCAACTGGATCGTTTTCAATACTAATTCAGGTAAAAAACACAAATAAAGAGGGGGAAAAAAATGAAAAAAAAAAAAAATTCGACAACCATTTTGCCAATGGCTCTAGGTAACCTGTGATCGCCTTTTGGTGATCAAAATGTTTTAGATTTGTGGCCGAAGATAGAAGAGACTTAATTCTATATTACATTATATGCATTTTATATTTAACATTATATGCATTTTCATAAATTATGGTTATGAAATACAACATGAAATGCTAATGTCTTTCTAAAGTTGTACATTTTACTATTAAATGTCAGAGTTTTAAATAAGTTTGGTAAATAATATAAATAATGTGATGAATCAAATCCAAAATAACTTAAATATAACCTAAACTAAAAAGTAACTTAAACTAAAAACACCACTTAAAAATGATTTCACCTTTGACGTTTTTCGTCACATCACAAGAACTTTTTAAGCTGATCGTAAACTTTCTTGACACTTTCATAAAATTCCATTTTCCTAAGGTAAAAAATATATTCTTTCTCTTTCCAGATAACATCATACATCTATTACCCATTTTACAAATGTTCTCTAAAATATATTTTAGTTCTGATGTAATTATGCTCATGTAATCATTATGCTCATTTTAGAATTACTACAAATACGTACTGTTGCAGAAATTACGCTGCACGGAGGCGGGCGCTGAAAATTTATTATGGTCTTGCAAACAAGATTATTGCTACCGATCAAATTTTTTTTTTTAAATAATACGATGCTATTAACATACGCAAAATTTTTAAAATACGAGAAAAGCGAAATAATATGTACAATAAATCGATCAGTTTATAAAAAATAATTTGAAACACAATTTTTGTTTTAAACCTGAAGAGTTGTCTATTCTTTATTTTACAAACTTCATTTTTTTTAATCCAATAATTAGTTCATTTTTTAAAAAAATTTATTTTTGACGTTGATTTTTTTGTCAAGAAGCTAAAAATAATTGAAATCAAAAATATGTAAAATTTTTTACTATTACAAATTTTTCATAATCTTTATTTAATTTTATAACCAGCTTTGAACAGCCGACCTAATCCTGAGTTTGTGACTATCAATGCTCAACTCCGTAGCTTTGTAATTTAGGACCCAACCCAGAAGACAAGGGAACTCCTGGATCAATTATTGGGAGTAATTTGCCCTCGTGGAGAACTTTTTAAAACTTACTGGTATTTGCGTTACTTGGAGGGGAAACCATGAAAATCTCCCACAGTTAACCCGAAGGCAAGGAGATTGTCCTAATCCATGATCACTGAGGTTATTTTACTTCAGCTTTATGGTCAGAGAAAGAGCCAGGAACAGAACCAGTCACCTCGTTCGGAGGAGAGACTAATAAAATTTCATATGTTTACCTTTAGTCATTTCATCATAATTTGTAGTTTTTTTAAAACTTGATGGCTCAGGTGGGTGACGGAGAGTTCGTCTTCAAATGAGGTGAACCGGGTTCGAATCCCAGCGATGGCTGGTCTATAAGAATTCTGCATCCGGCTTGCACTGACCACAGTGCTGATGTAAAATATCCTCAGCGGTAGATGGATCATGGGTTAGGACAATCCCCTTGCCATCAGGCTAACCCTGGGAAGTTTTCTCCATTTTAAGCAAATGTGGGCTAGTTCCATCAAAAAATCCTCCACGAAGGCACATTTCTCTGAATGTTTGATCCAGGAGTCTCCTTGACTTCTGCAGTGGGTTCAACATTACAAGGTGACGGAGTTGAACGTTAGTAGTTGTAAACCCAAAAATCGAGTTGGCTGTTCAAGGATAAAAGTCAACGTTTGAATAAAAATATTTTGTTAAAATAGAAACATTAAATATAAAAATATTTTACTTATATTATATATAGGTTTGATGATGGCGTATGCCATAACAGAAGTTAATGCTACTGGAATCAAAGCTTTTATATTACTTTCAGTGACTAGATGTTTTCACAATGATCCCATAGTTATATAAATATTAATCTTTTCTAAGGTAAATATTAATCCCAAGAATAAAATCCTTTCAAATAAATATTTAATTAAATTATTTGTAAGTTGTTTTGATCCAAATTATCATGAGAAAGGCTTGTGTTTGCAAGGAAAGGAAGTAGAAAAAAGAGTTAAAGTTGAACTTTTTTGCAGGCACTTTTTTTCATTATTAATTATTTAAGTAAAAACTATGATAAGCAGAACGCATTAAATATTTTTTAAGACATTAATTTAGCTTCTTTACCTCAAGACTGGCCTGCAATCATAAACCCTTCCAAAAAAAAAAGAAAGTTATAAATAGTTTTTACCAGGGTAGTGGTATTCAGAAGTGGTTGGATGCATGGGGGGCACACTTTTTAATTATACGCCCCTGAAAAGGGAGTGCAATCACAGCATGAGTGATGACATAAATTTAATTCAAAAATAAAATTTGACAAAAAAAATCTTAATTCATATTTCAAATTCTTTTTTAGGTGATGAAAGCGAAAATTATTCTAAGGAAAAAATGTCTAATGATTCATGTTTAGTGCAACTTATATTCACTTTAAATGTACACATACAAATCGGTAAATATACCTTTTATAATACTGAATGCGATCACAAGCGTTTATTTTTTTACTTTAACTACCCTATCCTGGATAAGAATGTAACAACGAATTTTACTACTTACTTTAAAACTGCTTAGAGCAGTTAACACAAAGGGCGTTAAATTTTTCGGCCCCTCAGACCTGTTTTATTTGTGGCTATTTATCCACATCTCCTTCTCTGCGTACCACTGCTTTGTGCGATAGATAAATTTATTCAAGTTAGTTAAAGTATTTAATTAAATAATAATTTTAGATAACACATATACTTTAAATAGTCACTTTTTTAGGACCATTCCTAATATCTCATTTTATATTGATTGGTAGTTTCCTACAGTATCAGATTGGAATCCAGATAACAAATGGCTCTTTTAATTTCATCTTACAAGAGTGCAAGGAGAGGGTGAATGCTTCACTGTGTTTCCCAAAGCAATCCTTTATAACTTGATTAACACAGGGGTGATTGTGAGTCCAATTCAAAATTCCGGAAAATTTCTTGAGTAAAATCATTAAAGACGCATAATGTCTTTATAAATTTAAATCATTGATATTTTCAAAACATTGAATTCTAAATAAATTATATACAGCATAATTTAAATGAATAATTATGTATAAGTTTATTCTTATCTCTAATCACATTTATTATTCTACCAGAAAAAATATTTACAAATGAAAGAGATGCCAAGTTCCAATATTTTTAAATAAAATATACAAGATTTTTTATACATAAATATGATAGATGATTTCTTGAAACTTCTAGACCTAAGATTTCCTGAAACTTCCGGAGTGCAGTCAGGGAAAAATCATGAAATCCAGATTTTTTCCGGAGCACAATTACCTCTGGTAACATAGCGAGACATGTAATCTTGTTCTCCTTGCCAATAGAATAAATCATCAACATTAGAGACGATGCTTGGTTAACAATGATGCTGTTAAAAGACTTTACAGAGTAGCAAAATGAAACCATTGTTGACTCTAAACAAAATCATCCTAAATTCTATCTTTTAAAAAATAAATAATGTAAAAATATTGAATGTATAGAATTTTAAAGTTTTTATTTTAACAAAAATGGGTGATGTCACACAGGTTGTTACCTCTCTCCTTTGTCATAAACTTTCACAAAACTCTTCCAAGCATGAATTATTTATAGACGGCCTCAAAAGTATGGAGTTCCAATAAATGTCCTGAAGAACCCTTGTAACAGCAACACTATTGTATCTCATTCATATAAAAACTAAAGGTGGTCAGAATTTAAAAAAAGCCACTCCAAGTTATATGCATGGCTTCTAAAAATATTTCATGCATGTCATAATACCTCTTCTGGAACTTCTAGGTTAAAGGGATTTTAAATGTGACGTAGGATTTTAAAAAGTGCACATATAGAAATTGCGATGCTGGATCTTCAAACTCCGTAAATAAGAATCCGGATGCCTGATTTGGAATTCGTGTGAATACAAATCGCAACAAGTAACTTTTAATTCAGGTAAATATGAAAACCGATGTTTGATATTAAAATCGCGCGAATAAAAATCACTCTATATCACAGATTCCAGGCTTGGGATTCCTTGTACTGTTTGTTTTTTCACATAAGCTACTTTATATCAATATTGGTAATGGGAATTGATAATGGGAAGTGCTCTCGCAGAAGCTGAATTCCATCCCTCATTGGTAGATGAGAGAAGAAATCCATTGTGTCACACCTTAAAGAGAGCAGCACAGCACAAGGTTGTTACAAGAGGTACAGGGACACCTGAATTAAAGAAAATACAAGCTATTAAGCGGGTGGATAAAAATTCAGAAAATCTTATCTTCTGCATGTGAAAAAAAACCTAAAATAAGCAAAAAAGCATTAAGCTTTTGCAAAATGTGGAAAGGTTGGCATGGCATCTATGCCTGGATTCAGTATCTATATTCTGTATATTTTTTTAAATGGCGGGCACTTGCGGTTTGGCCCATTGGCCACGGAAATGCCAGAACTGCTACTCTCGTCTCGTTACCCAGTGGGCACTTGTGGCGAAGCCAGGGCGGTGGAGCAGCGTCACCCACATCACGCAACCACAAACCCGTTTATAGGGTGGGTCAAGTTCACACAAAGAGGAAAGGACATAGAACACACAGAGAGAAAGAAACATCCGTGCCTTGAGCAGGATTCGAACCCGCGGTCAATGGCTTCGCAGTCAGACATACTAACCACGCGGCCACCTGGTTGGCATATTCTGTATATAATGGGTACCTATTACCACAGCAGCTGTTACCATTTAACACAGTATTACAAATATTTACTACCATAATTATTTAAGCCACATAAGCATTAAAAACCGCAATGGCATTTTTTTAGGGTTTCTTTCAGTAGATAAGTACCCTTTTTAATCGACAATGAGAGAACAAACACACATAATTACCAATAATTAAAAAAATAATAACTTTATTTCTTTATTGTAAATTCACCAAGAAAAGAAAAACAGTTAAGAATCAAATTCATACAAGCTCGTGAAATGAGATTCAGATCTTCAGCTACTTCAGGAATAAAAATGAAGTATAAACAATACACGAAATAAATATAAAAGATCATACATTCAAAACCATACCAAAATTTCAAAAACAAAAACATATACTTTTCATTTATATTTCATTGAAATTCACTTAAAAAAACTATGGTTTACTTTTAAAGAAAAAAAGAACTAAATATAATTTTAACTCACATGTTAAATTAACAAGTTTAATCACAAACATGGAATGACTTTAGTGATCATCACAATTATGAAATGATTTATTGTGAAAATGCAAAATGTTTCGTGCAAGAAGATGAATCATTTATGTTTATGTATATCATAAAAAATATTTTTTATGATTTATTTCATAAAAATCCTGACTTAGAAAAAAAACATATAAATATAAATGCAACATAAATATAAAATGTCCCACGTAAAACTGTGACAACAATTCAAAAGTGTATATTCTAATAACATAATACAATTTACTTCTTAATGATTATAGCTCACATATTATGTTCCCCAAACCATTATATAATTATTTAAATTGTAAGTTATCCAATAAAAAGAGTAAAACATTATTGAATGAATTATTTACATGCAAAGAAAAAGTTAACTTATGGATATAAAATGACAAATCGAGGTTCTTGAAGTTTCTGCAAAATTTGATATTGTGTAATTACACACAGAAGACAATATAAATGCAGTCCGTCAATACACCACAAAATAAAGCTTGCCAAAAATGAATAAACATTATAATAGTACCGGAATAGAAACCAAATTCCAATGCACACCATTAGAAGTATTTCAAATGTCGCTCCAATCATCCATGGGAAAAACATGCACCTATTTTCATTCTTAACGCCGTAGATAAGCATAGAACAAGCAAGAAGAAACAGGATACTGAAAACAATGGCGATTGATCCAGCTACAGTAGCACCAGATTGATTAAGTTCAAAGAAAGGGGAATAGAATTCATCGGATTTTCCTCCATCTATGACATATAACGAATAGCATATGAAGAGTAAATGAAAGATCCCCGTGTACAAAGCCGCATAAAAGCAACCAATTTTAACCGAAGTCCATGAATAAACCATAAATGGAACCCAGCACTTTTTGAGAATAGCCATTGTAAATTAGACTGTATTTTTACTTTAAACTAGTATAAAATAACAGCAGAAAATTAATTAAAATGATAGATGGATAACAGTTATACAACGAGCAGTTTTACACTTGTTTGTAAACAACCATCGTAAACAAAATCAGAAGATGCCACACCCGGCTTGTAGTGTCTGCAATGGTTTCCGAGTGTCCCATTTAGCCTCTAAAGGACAGTTCACACTTTATGTAAAAATTTGGCATAAGAGAATCTGGAGACGTAAACGACAGCTTGATTGGCGAGTTTTTCTCAGGTTTTCCCTCTCATCTCCGAAATCGCATACCCCAATTTTTTATTTTTCAAAAAATCTCTCCTGAAAATTTAACTGTAACTTTGATATTAATAAATTCTACACATGTTTTTGTTTACCTTCACGTACTTACGTCGGAAATTGGAGATAGTTTATTAAAATATTTTCTGAGTATTTATTTTACTTTGTAATTAGGTATTTAAGTAATCTTCAATGAAGGAAACGTCTAGTGATAAGTTAAATTACAACATATTGCAATTGCAAAATTTAATTAAAAGAGATGCCTATTCATACTATGAAGAAGTAAACATTTCAAATACTAATTCCGTATCAAATAAGTTTAAACAGCTATATAAATTTAAAAACATTTATATATGTTTGCTTTTAAATATATCTGTGATGAAGTAATTATATGTCATTCATTTCTATTCTTGTCATTTATAAACACAAAAGAAAATTATGTTTTAAAGTTTGCAATATTTTATACAATTTGTATAAAATTATAAATCCCTGTTGTTGTTTTTTTAAATGAAACCAAATTTCCTATATTTTAATGTAACTCCTGACTGGATTTGATGAGTTTTTAAAAAAAATTTTTTTGCAGTTTACTCAGCAGTTTCAGCACTATCAATCTTTATTGATTCTGTTTAAAGATAATCCTGGCGAATATTATGAAAATGTAGCCTCTTTAGTCATGTTCCTTGCTCAGGTATGGTTTTCTCTTTGGAAAGTGATTTTGTGTTATTTTTTAAAAACCTATACTCAGTGTTTATTTAAATTAATCGCTTTACACATACAAATTTGTAAACTAATTATTAAAACTCTTTAACTGTCTTCTAAGGGTATTTTTGAAAGCGAAATATAATGATTCTACAGGACCTATACAAAGTATAATAATTCTATATGGAATCGATAATGATTCTTTCAGATTAAAGTTTATTATATTTGCACTTTGAGTGCATTGAGTTTCAGAAAGTGCCTGTTAAAAAATTTCCTGAAAATAACATTAAAAGAAAAAAAGTCTTTAAAAATGGGAGATATTTCTTATATGTTAGGGAGAAGACGGTGTTAGTTGTCCTTACACTCAGAAATTTGAAGGATTTGGGTGAAAATCCTTACTTCAAGAAAAGTGCATTTTTATTTTGATTGATGATGGTTTTTATTCATACTACTGATTTTTTAGTGTACGAGTTCTTGACTTTTATTAGGCCTTTATCTTTATAAACATGTTGCCTGATTACAAATAAAAATATAAACCTGAGAGCATTAAGTTTTAGTTTCAAGTAAATTTTGTATTTGAGTTACCAGATTTTGGCACATATGATTTAGGACTAGAGGACTCATTCCATCTTATGTTCTCATCGTTTATTGCTAATTTTCAGCAGTTTCCTTTTGATTTTTCAAATTCCTATAATCATTAATGGAAGTAGAGTTTTTGAATTTTAGTTGTTTCTTTTTGATGAGCGTGACTCTCAATAATTCTATTATATAAAACCACATTTATCTCAATCGATTTTACTTGTTACAGAAGGGTCAAAGCTAGGTTCAAAGTTTTTTAAAGGAAAAGATGAAATTAGCTATTATGACTTATGAATATTAGGTATTAATTTACAATTCAAGTTAGATGCTATTCTGCATATGAAAATATGTTTCTATTTTGATACTGGTTTGTTGTGCACCTGCTGTTAGGGGATTTTTTCTCACTGATGACTCTTGAGGCATATTCATTGGCATTGCCAAATTAAAGAATCTGTTTTTGTCAATTACTAAAACTAGGCTGGGATAGCCTGGTTGGTAGGGAGCTGGGCCCATGTCCAAGAGTTCGTGGGTTCGATCCCCAATGGCTGAAGACTCCCCGTGTAGTAAATGGTGACTGATGCACATTAAATCTGTCGAATCGTAAAGCCCTTCATGTGCCCATAACAAATCAATACCTTTGGGGGTACTGATCCAGGAGTTTCCTTGTCTTCTGGATTGGTTGATATGGCTACGGAGTTGAACATTAGTAGTCGTAAACCCAAAAATTGGTTTGGCTGTTCAACGACGGATCTAAAATATAAAATTGCTAAAACTGAATTCTAATATTGCAACCCTTTTAAATTTAAATTCACTTTTAGTAGTCATTTTGTAACATTTTTTTAGAACACATTTCAGAAATGAAAATTTGAATCAAATCTTTCCCCAATGTAACAGTTTTATTATCAATCTGCTGCAAATTTCACAAAAAAAATATAGCTAAACACTCAAAACTATTATTAATGACATTAAACTGACGTCTCATGTCAAGAAAGATGCAGCAATAAACATATTGAAGTAAGCAAGGGTCTGTCTAGGTTTTTCTGAGAGGTACTTATTTTGTGAAAATTTAGACATAATTTGCGAAAATTAAAAATTATATTAAAAAATCAACGCAAAAATATGTTTCTTACGGGATACAAAAATAAAATTTTAAGAAAAAGTCTTTTGTGAAACTACTAATTTTCCCAAAGTTGAATTTGTGAAGGTACCGCTGAACAGTGGTAAATTTGGCCTGGACAGACCCCTGGTAAAGCTTATAAACCATGCATTATTTTTATTTCCTTCAAAATGTCTTTAAATTAAAACTACCCTTATATCTAGCAGATGCACCGAAATAAAATATTGGCTTCATAGTCATCTTAAATCTTTTCACTTGCAATACTTTTAACACATAATGCAGAAAAGTCAACACCTATTCAAGACAACATGCATCTGAACTATAAAGGATAGTCTCTCACCATAAGATTCTACCAATCACTTCAAAATCAATTAAACATACTTCTTAATTTATATAGGCAGTGTAGATGATTGGGAAAAAAACGGACAATTCTTTAACTTTATAAAAACGTTAGCAGAGTGGATTCTGGACAAGTGTATGCCGCACAATCATACTCAAACACAATACCTTTTTTTTTTTTTTAAAGTCAAAATCTTTTCTCTTCACTTTTTCCCAATCATTTCATCATACTTTTCCGTGCTTACAAGTACAGTAAAAAAATTTAAAAAACACACATCTTTGAAGAACTGTGATTAGGACCTTCACAGCTTAAAATTTGACTAAATGTTTCAAAATTTAAAAGCAAATAATCATGGAAGTAAAACAGTTTATTTGTGATATGTTTATATGGGGAAACATAGCATATGCTGCAGTAATACTGAATAAAAAATTTTGAAATTTATATTCTAATATGTTAGCCTTTATTTACATCTCTTTTTTTTTCCATGTCATTTAGTTAATATTTCAATACAAAACTACCATATATCAAGCTTAATACTGTGCTTTATCAGTAATATTTCTGTGTTAATCTGTACTGATATCCTTCCAATTCCTTCATATGATAATCTTATTTTTTGCCTTAATGTTTTTATGAAAATTCTTGAAAAATTATTGTAGCGAAATCTATTATTGTATAGATTCTTTCATTTTCCCATTTTAGACAGTCTTTCCATGTCTTGTATCTACCATTTCAGAAACCTTGTTTACATAGATAATTCCTTTTGATTAGTAATCTTTTGAACAGCCTTATAACTCAGACAACAAATAATAGAAACTTAAAATAATATACCAGTAATAAAAAATCTTGCACATTTAATAAATAAACAAATTTGTAATAATTCTGCCATTAAAGCTTGAATTTTTTTTCAATAAGCGTTAAACATCATTAAATGCATCGAGTAATAAAAAAATTTCTTAATGATTTTTTAATTTTTGATATTTAAATTGCATTTGTTTGGCCAAATGTAATCTTGGTCTATGTTAATAAGCTTAAATCAAATGATAAACCATTTGTTTTTATACTATTCATCTTTGTCCAATATTATTTTTCACTGCATGTAATAATTAAAACTATGAATTTTATTTATGTTTATATGATTTTTAGGTTTCTACTTATTATAAAGATGAGCTAAAAGACTTTCCCTCAGAAATTATGAATATTCTTAGAGAATATGACCAAGTATTAGATCCCAGTATGAGAATGGTAAATATATAATGAAATTTAGTTTATTTTCATGAAATGTAAAAAGTATGATTTTTGCCAATACTCAATTTGATATTAAGAAGAGAATCATTAGACTTGAAATTGATTATAATTTAGTATTTGATTATTATGTTTAGTAAACTTTTTATTCATCAGAATCATATTGTCCAGGTTGCAGACTACCAGAGAATCCTTCCCCCCTGAGGACTATTCCTCGGAAGGGTTAAGTTCATTTGTACTAGTTGCTCTAATTATTGATACAGTCTGACCTCTATTTAACGAAGTCGATAAACTCTGATAATAAGTTCGTTATATGGAAAATTCGTTGGACAAAAAATCACCTTTTGAAATGCTTAAACAACACAAAACAGGTTTTAAATTCATGAATACTAGACATAATTTAAACAGCAATTGATTCACCTTTATCTTGTAAACTAGTATTTACTATTTATTTTATAGATCTTAGCCATAAAAGAAATCTGCATGGAAAGCAAAAATAGAGTAAAACATTATCCAGTGTTACACTGTCATGCTACATACATTTTCGACTTAAAAAAAATCTAAATTTATGTATAAAATTATAGCTGAATTTATTATAAGAGTAATTTTAAACATACATTACCAAACACGTTGTTAAGTTTAATTGCTACTGATAAAATTCGTTAATTTTGTCTGAGTTTTTCGTTTGGAATGCAAGGTAAAAGGGAGTTTACTGCTTCCTCTAAAAGTTAAGTGACTTCGAAAATCAATTCCTGGTCATTTTCCCCATAAAATGCGTCAACAAGTTTGAAATATTCTGAGAAATAGGGAAAGAGGATCTAAAAAAAAAAAGTTCGATAAATGGAAAATTCTCTTCGCTAATTGGAAGTTAATTTACGAAGAAATTTTCAAAATGTTCTTGGTTCCTTGAAAAAAATCGCAAAATGGAAATTTGTTCAATAGAAGTCTGACTGTATAACCTGAAATATTATGTTCATTCTCTTTCTTTGGTATAATTTTAATTGTTCTTCGTAATTCTATTATTTTGTATATCTTTACTTTGTTTCTTGAACTCTTTTCCAAATTCGTATGAGTTCGATAGTCTAGGAAATTTGCTTGCCTGGGACATTATATTTCCTGACCATCTGAGTTAATCGAAACACATATAATCGAATCGATTCATGAAATTTTTTGAAATACAGCAAATTTTAGCTGTTTTTTGATCCCCTGAAAAATATTTTATTTGTGTATTATAATTAAGCTATTAAAAATATTCCTTTTACTTTGTATATTTGTAGGGTTTTTGCAAGGCTTTGATATTAATGAGAAACAGAGGTATTATTGATCCCACTGAATTAATTACGCTGTGCTTTGAATTGCTTCGTTGCAAGGACAAGGTATTACGCAAATATTTGCAGATTCACATTGTGGCTGATTTGAAAAAGATAAATTCTAAGCATAAAAATTCAAAAGTCAATAGTGTAAGTTTTTATTTTATTTTTTTATTAATTATAATAATTTTTATGATTTATACTGTTTATTTAAATGAGTGTTGCCCTCCTGGTTCTATTACAAAATTTTCATGTCTACATTTAACAAATGCTTTATTATGTAACATTGATCTTAAAAATTAAATGGAAATATATAATTATGCTATTCAACTAAAGCATAAAATTATTTGAACCTTATTGTTTTTCTTTTTTGTACAAATACAGGTGTATCTATATACATGTTATTCACGCAACTGGAAAGTCATGGATTTCGGTGTTGAACAAATTTTGTCATAAAATGTCATGATTTCAACTATTTTTTAAAGAAAGTCATGGATTTAGTTGGCCGAAAAATCTTTTAAACTGAAATCCCCCCCCCCCCCCAAAAAAAAATTTTTTTTTTTTCACAATGTTCCGAACATCTGATCTTGTAGAAGAATCCTCACTCACAGTCATATTTTATTAAAATATAAAATGTTTTTATCCTGTTCTTTAAAAGTTATGTTGTTCTTTCAAAAAATGAAAGAACATTTCTAGAACAAATTATCTTTTAAACTTCTGTGAATTGAGAAATATCGTACATAAATAATATTATTTATGTTTTCTTAATAAAATCAAACCAAGATAAATTAAACTGAGTGTAACACTTGCGCAAAACCAGCAGCACTTTGAAAATTATTTTTTTAGTATCAGAAGCATATTAATGTGTGATAGTTTTCTTCAAGCTTAAAAAATATTATTTTATTTTGTTCTTTACTAATAATTTTTAAAAAAATGTAATGTGTGCCCCCTAATTAAATTCTTTTTGTTCTTTAGGTGCTTCAGAATTTCATGTATAAAATGCTGAGTGATCGTAACGCAACTGCTGCAAAAGTATCATTGGTAAAAGATGTTTAAATTATATACATTAAAAGTATCTAAACAATACATCTTTTTTAAGACATTATATTCTGTTTGTTAAAGCTTAGGATAAAACATTTTGCCCTATTATTCTAATATAAATACAATTATTTTTTCTTTTTAAAATGAGAAAAAAAACTTTGTTTTTTTTCTTTTATTTCTGAAATAATATATAATAAATTATTTTAGAATCATAGGACAAATTTATGATAAGTTAAATCCTTCAGTATTCTCTTCTCTTTTTGATTAGGATATAATGATTGAACTTTACAAGAGACACATTTGGAGGGATGCTAAAACTGTCAATGCCATTGCGACTGCATGTTTTTCGGATGTTAATAAGGTATAAATTATTCAAATAAGGTATTTCTAGTGCTGTCTATAGACTAATTATTTCTTCATTGTCTTTATTATTAGTAATAAATATTGGAAAAAACATTATTCATTTATGTTTGATAAGTATTTAATAAAATAGGTAATTGTATTCACTGTTGTCAAGTTAAAATAATATTTTATAGTAACTTATAATTACTTGCTTTCTTTTCATTTTTCAGATTTTAGTTGCTGCTCATCAGTTCTTTTTAGGTGTTGATGAAGAGGAAGAAAAGGATAGTGATTCAGAGGTTTGTTGGTTATTTAATATTTTATCTACATTAAAGCGTAACCTGTGCAGTAGAATTAAATTTCAAGGTGGTTTTAAATTTGTTGTTGCTTTGTTCAGACTTTTCACTTTTAGTATTGTTTGTATTGGAATTGAAATCCAATAAAATTAATTCACCGATCTCTTAGGTACAAATACATACTTCTAAGTGTATTACTTCATAAATTTTGTTTCTATTTTATATGAGTGTTATGGTGATTTTTCCAATAAATTTTTAATCTGGATTATGTTTTAAGTGAGCTAAAAACGGACTACAGAGAAGTTGCAGCGCTTCTTCAGGAAAACAATATTTTGCAAAGACATAACTTGCAAAAATAAGATAATAATATTGTTAATTAAGACTGTGGCAAAATTTTTTCAGGCTTTCTGCAACATACCTTTCTAATTCTGATATCTTTCTGCAAGATACTTAAAAATAACAAATATACATGCTAGTAATTTAAGTCATAATAGATAAATTTAAAATTGAATCAAATAAAGTAATTTTTTTTAATTGGATGTGTGATATTTTTGTTATTTGAATATTATGGGCTATATTCTCGCATTTTGTAGGAAGATAATGCACTAATTATTTCCTTTTTCACATTTTATAATTCGGCCTTAAATTTTTAAATAATCACAAAATTTGTTAAGTAACTACCAAAAAAAAGATCGACCGTGAAATCACATGAATCGGACTCTTCAAAAGGGAGTTACTAAATGTGTGTGTGTTTTCATTTCGAGATTCAGTTGTTGTAACAAATAATGTATTGAAAATATCGGATTTTAAAAGCTATGTGGGAATCAGTAGTAATAACTGCATGAAAATATAGAATGAAAATTTCTACAGAAAAGAAAAACAAAAATTTTGCAAATGAGAATAGAAAAATCAAAAAAATAATTTTTTTCACTCGGATGTGCAAGAAAGGAATGAATATAATTCTGAAAGGAATATCTTTGGAATATAATTGTGAAGGAAATATAAAATCTTTTGAAAATTTCTGCAGAAAAGAAAAGCAAAATTTTTTACTTCCCAAAGGAAAGATCTTTCTGCAAGAACTCTGCAACAATGTCATCACAATTCTGCCACCGAGTTAATAAAAATGTTTCAAGTTGTACGTAATTTTTTTTGTTCTATGTTCTCTAGTTTTCAAAGAGATTTTATAATAATCTGATTGCTAATACTGGGATATGTGTTTTTTAAATTGAAACTTGTTTTTAATAGAGTGAAGATGACACTCCAACAGTCAGAGATGTAATGTCTGCTAATAAAGTTAATAAAAAAACCAAGAAAAGGATGCGAATTCTAAAAAGAACAAAACAAGTGTTAAAAGTAAGTTGCAGGATTTAATGTTGACTCAGTTATTTTATTTTAAAATGTTGCCATGTGTTTTAAAAATTGTTTCTTTTTGGCACTTTTGTGTGATCTAATTTAACTCTCTCTCTCTCTTTTTTTTTAATATAGAAATCGAAAAAGAAAAAATCTAAAGAAGTATTTGATTTTTCTGCTATACATCTGCTTCATGATCCTCAAGGTTTGTAAAGCAACATATTCTAACAAACATTTAATTTGAAATACTGAATACAATGCAGCACAAATAAAAATTATGATTAAAAAAATGGATGAATTGTTGATTTATGTACCTTAATATACAATTTGCAGCACTAAAAGGGCTGTATGTTCTTACTGGTTTTTCTATTGTGTTGTGTATTATTGTAACTTTATATTGAAATGTTGACTGATCCAGCATCTCTACCTGGTGACTCAAACCTAATCTGTACGCAACTACTTGAAAAATTATAGATACTTTGAGTTTCTTTAGTGAGTATATATTGTTTCCAGTTTTTCAATTTTCTTCCCCTATTCTCTTTCTCGTAATATTATAAAATTAAATCCGTTTGACTTGGACAACACGAAACTTGAAGTATGTGACAATAGGTGTATAAGTTTTTTTTTTCCAAATATTTTATTTTTTTAAGGAAAAACAATAAAGAACTTTTTTTAGTTGAGTTTTTTAAAAAAAAATTGCTAGAATTATATTAGTATAATATAAAGTGTCATCTGGTTGCAAGTTTTGACAAATGCACTGTTATTGGTAATTGCCATTCAACTTACATGTAAAGATTATTAGTTGTGTAGGTTTCAAACAAATAAAAAAGTATGCTTAATGTTCCTATTTTGTGTTTTTTGATGAAAAGAGTTTATAAAATAATGTCAAAATCTTTCAATATTTTTAACCTTTCATCTCTGTCACACTTTCCATTTCTCAAGACCTGATGTATCATGGCATGTTATATGACATAGACTTATGCATGAAGTACAGAAACAAAGCACTATATTATAAAGCTCATCTTTCAAATTTTATTAGCAAACTTAAACTGTTGTTTTAATTAGCTTGCTAGGATAACTATAAAACGGATTGTATAGGCACTTATTTTGTCCTTAATGCTAAAAAAAATTTGTACTAAATGCATTAAATTATAAAGGTTTACAACAAAAAGCATAATTAAATTTCTTTTTAAGATTGCTAAAAAAAAAATTTAGAATTATTCCTTAATATTTAAAAAAAAGAAAAATGCAAATACCATTTTACTAAAGCTATTAGCCCAGTTATTACTAAAGCCCAGATGTACAAATGCTGCAGTTGTATATTTCTTAGATAAAAATATTATACTTTTATTATTATACTTTTTATTTAAAAATATTTTATAAAGATTTATTTAAAAAAAAAATTTTTTAAATATTAAAAAAAAAGGAGGTTTACAAATTTAAGTAGAATTGTTATTCCTGTTATAATTTGTCTTTCAATTTGTAAGTGCATTTTTTTTTTGTCAAATAATTTATTTATTATCTAATTTTTACTTCTTTCGCTAGATAAATTTCATACAGTGTGTATAAATAAAGTACACTATTTCAAAGTTGTCTGTTATCCTTAACTATTCATCAAAGTTATTAAAATTTTCTGTTAAGACAAAATTTGAATATCAATTTATTGACTTCCTATATTAAGGAATTTAATTTTGACTAATAAAATAGTCAGGTGAAAAGTTAATATTTTGCAGAAACATTGAAAAGTGATCTATACTACAAGATTCAGAAGATTTTAATGCAGTTGAATTAGCTCTAATAATGGGTAATCAATGTTATAAAGTGGGGGAGGTGTTTTCGAATTTAAAATTGCTATGTTTAACAAAAAAATGGCACGAGGTGTTAAAATTTTCTGAGAAAATTTTGAAAAAAATTGCTTTTTATTTTAGAATATAGCAGGAATTGAGGAATTTTTTATATTTAAATGCTCTTGACTGCTAATGCTGCATATGGTGGAAATACCATATTTCATTCTTTTATTTTTTAACTTGAATTCAATGTATAATTTTTTATTTACCAAAGCTAATGCCTATAAATCAAGTTTTCTCAAATTTTTGGCTAGTTTTTATAATGTGCTTGTACCTTCGTCTGTGCGAGAGTTGTTAATAAGGAATTGCTATGAAAAAGCATTTCAAATTGCCGTACTTCCTGATGAATAATTAGAAGTATAATTATCTCTGAATTGCTTACTCCCTGTAAGAGCATCATCATTAAGTTTTATACTACAGCGATTCAATGTCCATTTCTATTAAAAGCCATTAATCTTACACTCTTTCTTGCAGGCATGGCAGAAAAGTTACTGAAAACTTTACAAGCAATGAATGAACGATATGAAATAAAGTTAATGATTATGAATCTTATCTCAAGACTTGTTGGAATTCATGAAGTAAGTTTAAATCTTGCAGGGAAAAAAATCATAAATAACAGGGTACATAGCGTTTTTAGAAAGTGATTAAAGGTGCTTATTTTTTATTTATGTTTTTTAAAAGCCCTTAAAGGTGCTTCTTTTATTTGGGGTTTGTAGAAAGTGCTTAGTTTTCTAACTTTTAAAGAGCGATTTTTTCTTTGCCGTATCGATTGTCATTGTAAATTGCAAAAAAGTGCGTGATTTTCAAAATTTTTTGATTTCCTGTTTGTAAATTAAGAACTTAAAACAATAGGAAAAATATTTTTTTTTTTTATTACTGCACAGATCCTAATTTTTTTTTTCTTGTATGCCCTAATTATAGCTCCCTTACTTTTCTATTTTAATGTGAATATTGTGTAATAAGTTACCTCAAATCAAAGACCATGTATATTTGTATCATTAAAAAATCTTAGACTGCAGTTTGTTTTGCACTATTTTGCTATTTATTTCAGTTGTGATATAGACCATATAACTGTTTTTTATAGTGGAACAAATTTTTAATGATAAGTACTAGTACTACATATTTAAGTTTTGAATGCTAAATAATAGAAGAAAATATTTTTTATATATAAAATAAAAAATAATGAATGTTTGCTTTCATTTACAGTTATTGTTTCAAAAATGAAATCTCTTTATTAATTGTGTTTAATATTATTATTTAAAAATTTCACTTCTATTTTTGAAAAATAACGCAACAGGCTGACATTCCAGTAATAGTTTTGTGTCATTTATTTAACATGATGTTTAGATAACAAAATCCAAATCTGATTATCAAAATTTCAGCACTTCACAGTTCTTAAGTTTAAAAGCAAAAATAAATCTTTAAGAATTAAAATGAATCGTAAAGAACAAGGATATGTAACTTAAGATTCAAAATTNTTTTTTTTTTTTTTTTTTTTGAAGGTGATAAAAAATATTTTTTGAGTGCTTGAAAGGTGCTTGTATGCCCTAATTATAACTCCCTTACTTTTCTATTTTAATGTGAATATTGTGTAATAAGTTACCTCAAATCAAGGACCATGTATATTTGTATCATTAAAAAATTTTAGACTGCAGTTTGTTTTGCAATATTTTGCTATTTATTTCAGTTGTGATATAGACCATATAACTGTTTTTTATAGTGGAACAAATTTTTAATGATAAGTACTAGTACTACATATTTAAGTTTTGAATGCTAAATAATAGAAAATTTTTAAAAACTAAAAAAATATTTTTTATATATAAAATAAAAAATTATGAATGTTTGCTTTCATTTACAGTTATTGTTTCAAAAATGAAATCTCTTTATTAATTGTGTTTAGTATTATTATTTAAAAATTTCAGTTCTATTTTTGAAAAATAACGCAACAGGTTGACATTCCAGTAATAGTTTTGTGTCATTTATTTAGCATGATGTTTAGATAACAAAATCCAAATCTGATTATCAAAATTTCAGCACTTCACAGTTCTTAAGTTTAAAAGCAAAAATAAATCATTAAGAATTAAAATGAATCATAAAAAACAAGGATATGTAACTTAAGATTCAAAATTTGATTAATAACTCCTAAATTTTAAACTTTTCTTCTTACTCTTGAAAAGTTTTAGATTGCTCCCTCTCAGCTCTAATGATCTTCTAATTTACTTCATACTTTTCATCAAAATGATTTGTCTTTTTTTTTTTTAGCAATTTGTTTATTGTATCTTATTTAGTTTTATACATTTTTGTACTAAGTGACTTATCACATGGGAGAAATAAAAGAAAAACATCTTAACACAGAAAACAAAATTCACAAAAAATATCAAATATTATATGAAAATATTTCTTCATAATCATCTTTCCCGAAGTCTAACAGAAAAGCCTGCCTGACGTATTTTCAATATATTATCTAGTCCTATTATGATAGTTTTATTATAAAGAAACAGTTCTAGTAACTCCTCTACTTCTAGGCTTTAGGACACTATTTGCCTGGTTAAGAGCCTAATAGAGCAAAGTTCTGAAATTCGCCTTTTAATGAACTGGCTGAGAAGAAAATCAATTTGCACGAGAGAAGTAAAAGCAAAATAACTGGTCTGGGTGACTCCTATATTTGTACTAAGAAATAATTAACATTATATGAATGCTGCTTAAGTAATATTAAAATTAGCAGCTGATAATTTACGTAGAACTTTTAAGAAATGCAAATCGATAAACATTAAAAAATCTGAATCATATGGCTCTACCATCTTGTGCCATTTCAACAAGGTTGCCAAAAAGAGTAATTAAAGAAAACTTAATGTAAATAGAGTGTAACTTGGTTTGTAACGTTAGTGGATTGGCACATTTTAATCTGTTGATTAATAGAATGTTGCAACTGTCTTTAAGAAAGACAAAAAAAACTATTGATTTAAATGATAATATAATAAATTTGAGTTTAAAAGTGAATTCATTATTTGGTGAAACAATACAGAATTTGTAATTCTTTAATGTTTTGCAGTTGATTTTATTGAATTTCTATCCTTTCTTGGTTCGATATATGAAGCCCCACCAAAGAGGTTAGTATTTATCTGATATTCCCTTTTTGAAATTGTATATTTGCAAGTTCTGTTGTTAGATTTATGTTCTTTTGTGTTGCTTTATAGAGGTCACAAAAATTTTGATGTTTGCTGCACAAGCAACTCATGAACATGTACCACCAGATGTAAGTTCTTATAGAAGATATATATTAAAATTGACCTTTTTATATGCATTTTAACCGGTATTATAGATATTTTATCATTATTTTATATCTTTAGGCATTAGAACCCGTTCTTCGAGCAATTTCTGATAATTTTATTACTGAAAGGAACTCTGTTGAAGTAATGACAGTTGGGTAAGAATTGATGGTGTTGAATTTATAAATTTTTAACCACATTTCATTTCATGTTGTTGTTTTTTTTTTCTTCAAATTAAACAGTGTTCACCATTTTAAATGATAAAGAAAATTATTTTCAGAAAAGAATAATTGAGAAGCATAATTTATTTAATTTAAAGTTGAAAAAATTCTTCCTATTTATATATATATATATGTATATTTTAATTTATATAACTTATATTGCACATGAGTAATAACGAAAATTCAGGAATTAAAAGCTACAATTATTTTCTTAAAGACAATTCTTTGAAGTTCTGATTCTAGCTTAGACTATTTAAAGTGAGACTTTTTTTTAATTTTCTTTGGTGAAAAGGCTTATTGTTTGCTTTACCAAGTTCTGTTATTTTAGTAAATAAGAATCCACAATTAGCTTGTTTTTAACTTTCAAATTATTAAAAAGGTAGTGGTTTCTGATTTGAATATTGATTGGCAAAATAAATTGGAATTAGTAATAGGAAGTAATAATTCCTCTCTTTGAGCTTACTTTCTGAAGTTAAAATGTGACTAAAAATAATTATGTAATAGGTAAAAAGAAATTGCTTTTATTCCTAGGAAATAATTTTTCATACATGTTTTTTAATAATTAGTCTTCTTTATTCCCTTTATTCAGATTGAATGCAGTAAGAGAAATATGCATCAGAAGCCCTTTTTGCATTGATCAAGATTTATTGCAAGATTTGGTACAGTACAAGAAATTTAAAAATAAAAGTGAGCTTTTGCATTCCCATATATATAATAGAGATGTAAATGGTTCTCTTAATTATGATTTTTAATTTTTCTATCTCAATGCAAATTTATCAGATTTGTATTGAGTACACATTATGAAATTTATTTGTTTTTTAAAACAAAATATCTGTGTATTACCTCACAAATTTAAAATGAAAATTTGACATTAGTTTTGAAGGTATGAAGATATTTTCTTTACTAATATATTTCCATTTATTCTTTTAAAATTTCAACTATTCTATAAAAAGTATTTTCAAGGTTCAAGCTGTTTGTTTACATAGAATTGAATAAGAATTAATTTTTTAAAAAAATTATTTGTTATTGATTAACAAGACATTATACTGGTTTTATTGTTATTATTTTTCAGTAAAATTGGAAAACTATGCTGTTCATTTTGTTGGAAACATTTTGATAAATATCTTATGATTAACTAAAAATAAACTTTTATTATTGCTAGCATTTTTTAGACTGCTTAGATTTCATGGTTGGCAATTAGAAAAACTGTAGAGAAGAGTCAGAATATTCTAATTCTATTGTTAATATTATTTCAGAAACTTAGAACTACTTTATTAATTAATAATTACCTTTAGATTTCTAAAATAATGCAAAAATTAAAATGAGAATATTCAAATTTGCCTGTTGTTAGTAAATGAAAACAAATGATAATAACTTGAAAAATTCATTAAATTTATTTTTCTCTCAAATTTTTGCTTTTTCACTATCTATCACTATATCAGATCAGTCACTATATCAATACTATTATTAGATATAAAAAAAAAAAATTTGAAAAATTGAATGTTTGTCTAAAGGACTAGTTACTAAACGAATTTTCTTATTCTAAATATTTTCATTGGTCTGTTTATTATGCCTCTATTAAAGTTTTTTTTTTTTCTAAAAAAGGAGAGAAAAATTACAATGTACAACGTGTGTAATGTTTACAACCATAATTGTGATAAAAATGTGTACATTTGTAAAAAACACAAAAATAAAAACAATGCAGCGTACTTTATATTGATTGCTGGTTAAGGGAACTGCTGATAGTTTATTTTAAGGTAGTCCAAATAAAATTTTAGTGGTATTGGAATAACAGTATACCATTAATTTCAAATCTTGTTATTAATTAATATAGATTGCAATTAAATGTTTAAAATTTTAGTTTAGAACTTGATATTTCTTTATTAAAAAGTATTTCTTTCATGCCTTCCCTTGGGTTGAAATAAACCAATTTCGCCCGGGTCGGTTTCTTCCCTGGTTTACTCCACTTTGGAAGAAACATGCCATCTCTGCTTTAAATAATGATTTTTAATTTATTAGCTTAGTGATAATTAACAAATTTCTGTTTATTTATTTATTTTAAGATGTTATGATGGCTGCCAGATCCTTGATTCAACTATATCGAAAACTCAATCCTAAATTGCTGCAGAGAAAATTCCGTGTAAATATTTTTTTGTATAATTATTTTTTTTGTCATGCATAGTATTGTATTGATATAATTGAATCTGAAAATCCATAGTATTGATATAATTTTTTTAATTTTTTCTTTTTCATGTATATTGCAATTAAAATAATTTATGCTAAGCTTAAATTTCGTTTTCTGGATATTTTTGACATGGTAATGCTAAAGTTTTGCTTTTTAAAAATCAAGACAATTTTGATGTTGTTTCTTCTCTTTCGAAGTATTATTAATTGTTTCGATAATTTTAATCTTACAAACAACTTATATTTCAACTAATAATACAATTAATACTGTACAATATTTTCATGTGTGTCTTGTCAAAATCTTATTTAAATAAAATAGTTTGAGTGAAATAGAATTTACTGGTTTATTCTTTTTCAAATATTTTTGAAGACCTTGACTTATTCAAATATTATTCTAGTGTAAGTAAAATTCTTGCAATGCTGAAGCTTAATTAAATGTGTTGAAAATTTTCAGGAATGTATCTGTTCTAATTTAAGTCTTAAAGCATTTTTAGAGCTTTTGTTTAACTTTTTTAAAGATTTGTTTTTTTAATAACAGGGAAAGCCTACTGAAGCTTCTAAAGAGGAACAACCTTTAGAGTACGGTGTATTACAGGCGAAATCTTTTATTCCTGGTGCAGAAGTTCTATCACTAGATCCTTCTAAAGATGAACCCGATAAAAGTAAATGATCAAGTTTTCTGGTTATTTCAAACTTTTAACCTTTATTATTTTCAATGACTTATTATTATTTTTTAAACATAAGTATGCCATTATAAATACAGCATTATAAATTTTTTGCCTTTTTAGAACTTCATAATGTTTCCTGATATAAATATATTGTTCTTAATATTTATCCCAATATTTACTTATTTTATCTTCAATAAGTCTTATTTTTTGCTGTTTGGAAACTGGTTCTCATATGTGCATCCTTTTATATTAAAAAAATATCTATCATCATGAATGTGTTGTTAATGCTGTTGCATGGTCACTCACTGTTATCTTATTCATTTATACTTAAATCAAATTACTCTGCATTTTTATATCACTAAAATGATTTTTAGGCCTGAAATTTTTAACTGAAAATATTTTTAGTCACTAAGAAAATTTTTATTTTAGGGAACATATTCTTAGAACAGGGTTCCCACGGGTCAGGAAAAACCTGGAATTCTCCTATCTCATACCTAGAAAATAACCACTCTTGAAATTCTCTGTAACAGTCATCAGTTATTGACATTCGAGTTAAATAAATCTTACATCTATTACAGTTATTTGTTTTAAATTGTTATTTGTTTTATTTTAGTCAAACTGAAATGTTCTCATCCTCATTTAATAATATTTTTTTATACAGAAAGTCTTATATTTCGCATAACAAATGCAGGAATCAAAGTTTATCAACCTGGAAAATAACCAGTTTTAAAATTGTCAGTAACAGTAATCAGTTACTGAGATTTGAGTTAAATAATTCTTACATCTATTACAATTATTTGTTCTAAAAATTTCATTCAAATTCATTTTAGTCAAGCTGAAATGTTCCCATCCTGATTTAATATTTTTTTTTCTCAGAAAATCTAATATTACTTATAAAACAAATGAAAGTTTTCTGATGAAAATGTGGTCTCAATTTTCATTGAAATTTATCTGGTATACCTGGAAAAGTCGGAGAATTTTTTTGCAAATTGAGTGGGAACCCTGTTAGAATTTTTAATGTTTTTAATTTTCCTGGTATTAGAATAAAAACACACGCGCACACACTTGTTTCTAACCTGGTTTCAAAAAACTGTATGTCAACATAGTTCATCTTTTTTTTTTTTTTTTAATTTAGTGGACTGTGCTTAATTTATTTTTCATTTTTTTCACTTAACAAATTTTTGTATTTATAAACAGAGTATTGTTAATATATTTGCAACTTATAAATAAACACAATTTATTTATACCATAATTTTTTTTTAAAAAATCTTATTTTCTTTTCCTATAATATTTAATGCTATTTTTTTTTTTTAAGTTCTCTAATATCTTTTTTATGTTAAAAAGTGTTTGTCTTTGCAGTTCCCAAAATTTTCGCTACTAACTTAATTATTATGAAAAAAATGTTGATTTTTTTTACATCTGTTATTTAATGAAAAAGTACTGTATAGTTGAGAAATTTTAGTAGAATTTTACCCACAAGTTAACTGGTTGAAAAAATGCAATGCTTTCATCTAAAGTTTTGTTGCTACCCATAAAATAATATTACTTTTCACCCTTTTAAAATAATATTAATGATTATAATATTTCTGAAGATTATTTCGATAAATTATTCCTTTTAGATGATTTCTGTAAAAAATTTACAAATATAATGTATATATAAAACTTGATTTTCAAGAGTAAAGATCCTAAAATCTTATTATAGGGAGTGCCTTGAATCCGATTAATGTCTCCTTTTTGTACATAAAAGTTTGACCTAAAGTTTTTTTTCCCCTAAAGTTTTTGTTTTTTTAAATAAAATCATTGGCATTTTAACATAATCTGAATAAGCTCTCTCTAAATTAATTTAGGGTCCAAACTAACTTATGTATATAAATGGCATAAATATATTATAATATTTGTACTATGTATGAAAGTAGTAAATTTCATGAAATTATTCAATTAATTGAATAAATAATTTCTTGGTAATAATTTCATGCTTTTAACTCAAAAAGTTCTGAAGCGGTCTTTTCCCTCCACTAGCTATGCAAAGTTACTAATAATTTTAAACCATTTTTTTTTCTTTCAATTTTGTGGAATGGTTGAAGAGTTATTTAATTTATGGTTTAAAATAATTGTAATTTAACCTAGTGGTGTCATTTATAGAAAGTAAGGCTGACGAAGAAGAGAATGCAGATGATAGTGATGGTAGTTGGATTGATGTATCTCATTCAGCGGATGAACTGTCTGATGCGGAAGAAGATGATGAGGAAGAGGATGTAGAAAACAGCATTGCTGAGGTAAATATTTATTTATTTATTTTTCTTGTCAACTGACTTTCAAACCTCTCTGAGCTGTTTAAAAAGGACTATGTTTCTGCATTTTCTGAAAGTTAAGTTTGTAGGATAATTTTAAACTGATTTTCTGAAATTTGAGTTTTTGGAGAAGTTTGTAGCAACCAATACAGCAATGCATATTTAATTAAAATCAAATTGCGCATTTGATCAATAAAATCAAATACAGTGACTTCTATTAATAAATTCAGTGAACTGTAGAAATCAGCCGCTTTTTAAAGACAAATCTGCAATAACGGAATCATTACAATATCGAAACATGCTAAAGCCATCCTTTTAGGAAATCATTATGGCGTTTTGTAAAATAAAATTTTTATTTGCAGGGTTGCCACAGGCTACTAAAAGGCTACTATTTTCGGCCTTAGGCGACTATGGCATTTTTTTTTTTTTTTTTTTTTTTNTTTTTGCCTGAAAAGGCTAAAAAAGCAACTATTTTCAGGAATAGGCGACTATTGGGAGACTTTTTTACTCTTAGCGAAGTTATTTTTATACTTATTTTTCGTAGACCTACTGTTACTTTGTGATTGCTGCACAATCGTTGTTATCTTAAACTTTCGTTCTGAACTCAATAGATCAATGAAAACAAAATAAAAATTAAAAAAGTTTCTTCATTGGGTTTTTTCAATTATTATTTGCGATACAATTTAATAGGGGTATTTTGTACTTAATTTTGTTATAAAATGTTAGTTTTTTTTTTCAAATTTATTTAAAGTAGGTAAGTAAAATAATTTGATTATTTTTAAACCAATAAATGTTCAGTTGTTTTTATTTATAAAAAAATTAAAGTAAAGCTTACCTTTATTTAATTTTCTTTTATTTTTGAGAAACTGAAAACAAAGTTTTAAAAAAGTTGGGTTATTAGTTTAAAAAAAAAAATCTTTTTTTAAAAATTAGATAAAGAGTTTAGTAATGTTTGGACGCTTTTTAATAATTTAACATTAGTACTTAAAGTATTTTTTTTTAATTTTATTAAAATTCTTTCAATACTTGTTTGTTTTATCATTTATTAGATAGTCAGTGTCATTTTTAAAGAAATAAATCTTTAGTCAATTTTATTTTCAAAAACGAAAATAATAGTAAATAAGTAAAAATATTTTTACATTTATTCAGTACAGAATTTGACCATTAGTTAATACTACTTTATATTATTTTAAATAATTGAATAAAAGAGGGTCTAATGATGTTTCAAAAGCATGTTTTTTTTTCCAACAAATAATTTTAAAAAAATAATTTTTTTCTGAAGTGAACATTTTTTTAGTTTGTTTTCTACTTTCGTTTTTTTTTTTTTTTTAAATTTTAATGCACATATGTAAAATATTTTGTTGCAGTATTATTATTTTTAAACCAATAAATCTTAAATCATTTTTTATTTAAGAAAAATGAAATAAATCTTGGGTTTGCTTTTACTTTGACTTCTTTATTATTTTAATTGAAAAATTAAGCAATGATATTGATATTATGGTAGAATATGTTTAGAATTAATATTTTCTTTGGTAATAGATTTATTTATTTATTTATTTTTTTTATTGATTTCCCATAGGTAATTTCTGAACCTATGCTAAATCGCGATGTCTAACGGACGATGTATCACGATTTAAAATTTATAACATCAACCCGTCCTTATCATAGTATTTGACAATTTAACTACAATTTTAATTATTTGGCTACTATTTTTGATAAATTTTTTCTCCTGTTCAAAAATAGTTGCCTAAAACTGTTTTTATAGTTTTAGGCAACTATTTTCATACTTGAGGCTACTAAAAGCAAATATTTTTGTTCATTTTTTACTGTGGCAACCCTGTATTTGGCATATGTATTAAAAATGGAAAACTCTGCTATTTCTTGTCTAAATAATTAGAATTTTCTATTTCTTCAAGTTTTGAAAAATGTGTAGTATATAATTAATAAATTTCATTCTGTCCTTTATTAACTGAAAGAAGTAAGTTACAGTTGTGGATTGCACTTCCTTGGAAGAATTGACGATTAAGAATTAAATAAATTATGGAGGGAGAGTATAAAGAGATCCAGATGAAATGTGTTTATGAATTAAGAAAAGTAATTGAATGCCTATCAGCATTCAATGTCGATGATCAAAACTCACTTAATCATTCTATAAAGTTAATCTATAGAATTCTGAAAGGCACTTTGTATTTTAAAATGAACTGTACTGCAAAGAAAAAGTAGATATTGAAAATTAAAAAAAATTTTCTGGACTTTTAAACCATGTTGAATCTTTTAACTTCAAATTTTGCTAATTAAGCAAATGTATTAATATGTTGTAGGTCTTCATTTCAAGTAAATTAATAATTGTAACTCATTTTCCCAGTAGTAGAAGCACTCCAGTAAAGATTTGCAAATTGTCACAGCATCTGCAAATTGTTTCCACCTCAGATTTTTTTTTTTTGTCGTCTAAATTGCTAGTTGAAAATAAACTGAGAAGAAATTAAAAAAAATTAAATATAATAAAAATCTTCATTTACTAAAAATAAAGAATAGTTTTTCTGTTTTTATAAAGATTTTATACCAAATACACATACTTTATTCTTCCGTTTATTGTATTTGTTGTCTGCAAATGAAATTCATTTGAATAGGCACAAATCAGATAACAATTCTGTTAATTTCTTTCCTCAAAATAAAACATTTTTAGTTTAATATTATTATTTGAGAGTTAACATTTCTTCATGTTATTTTTATTGGGCTTAAAGCATCTGTTTTTTCTGAAGTATAATTATATAATTTTTTTTATGTGTATTTGCAAATTGTGCTAAATATTTGTTAAATTAAGTTTAATTTTTACATTTACAATCCTGGCATGACTGTATTGAAGTTTCAGATAAATTTGAACTTTCTAAAATAGTGCTGACTCTGTAAATTCTGGTACCAAACTCATGTTTAATTAAAATGTAAATTCAGAATAGAATGTAAATGTAGTAATCAATTTAACTTTTAATGTATTTGTAAAGTTTAACTTTTAAAATACTTTTTTAATTGTAGATTTTCCACTTTATTAAAAAAAATTGTTAATTTTGAAATGTTGTTTTGCTAACTATTGTAATAGTTACATTAACAGAATTCTTTATTATTCTCAGGATGACCAGAATGATGAGAAAATTTCATCCTCAGATAAAAATAAGAGTGGTGAAGGAAGCAACAAAGAAAAAGCAATGGCAGTTTCCATGAATAGGATATTATCCCAAGAAGAGTTTAAGAAAGTAAAGATTGCTCAACTTTCTAAACAAGTAAAATTTGCTAAAGGAAAGAAACGAAAGGCGGCAGAAGAAGACATGAATGCAGAAGAACTTAATAGGTGCATAGTGAAATCTTTTAATGTAATTTTTAACTCATTGTTTTGAAGCTGCCACAGAAAATTTTAATTTAGCTAGTTATTACAGGAGTGATTGCATTCTGAATGTACACCAGAATTCCGGATTTATTGTATCATCATTCCAGGTCTAGAAGCTATAAGAGCAGGACATGATCCGCTAATTTCAAAACCATTGTTTTGCTGACTAATACGAGTTGAAATGTATAATACGACCCTGAGTTCTGCATTCTGAAATTTAAATTATTGCATTTTCTCTAAATCGCAGCAACGAGGTGTTTTCATTCATGCGATTCTTCCACCAATTTTTATTTATTTATTATTTGTCGGATTTTTGCAGTTTTTAATGTTTTAAACTACACCGGAATCCGCTAATAGCGCGATTCACATTCACCTGATTTAGATATCAAACTTCGACATTCGCATTTACCTGATTTAGATATCAAACTTCGACATTCGCATTTACCTGATTCAAAAGTTACACATTGTGAATCTTATTCACGTGATTTAAAAATCATACATTGTGATTCGTATTCACTTGATTTAAAAATATTGCAATTTGTATTTATGCATTTTTAACACTAATATCACGATTCGTAATCTCACGTTTTTAAATTCCAATGTAGCGATCCGTATTCACGCTAGTTTAAAATCCAATGTTGTTATTCGTATTCCAGAGTTTATAGTATGAAACATCGATTATCGTATTTATGCGTGATTTAAAAATCCCACGCACCGATTCATATCTTCACGTTCTTAAAATCCAATGTTGCGATTCATATTCACACGATTTTAGTTCTTTCTTAAATTAGTTACTAAAAAGTTGTGATATTCTTCATTGGTAGGTAATTCAAATATAAATCTTAGTTTAAAAAAATATATTAAACATGTAAAATTTATAAATTGATATCGAGTGTTTGCAGCAAAATTTTTTAGGGTTTTTAATTTTTGGTCATAATTACCCTTGTTATTAGTAAATTAACTATGAGTTATTTTTTGCATTTGTTTATTATGTATTTTCTTTTTCAGAGGAGAAGTTGTGTCATTAAAAGATATCGAAAAATTACACAAAAGACCCAAACCCAATAAGGAAACAAGATTGGCTACCGTCCTGGTAATTTCTTTTCTCTCATTTTTTTTTTTTAATTATTATGGATTTGTTTGTTGACCTTTGATGTAATACTTGTATTGTATTTAAAGCATTGAATTTTTGTTAATAAGCACAGTTTTTATTATTTACTTAAATATTGCAATTCTAAAAATGTTTTGCTAACTTTATTATTTTATTTATATAAATTTCAAGAGTTTTTTTTATTTTTTTATTTATTATTATTATTATTATTATTTTTTTTGGAAAACAAAATTATTTTTGGTTTTTATTTTTGCCAAATCTCACCCATTGTGACATTATATCTATTGGTTTTAAAGAAAATTAAAAACGTCCAAATTTCTATATATATTTTGATTTTTTTTTTGTTTACATTGTGTTCATTTTTTTTTTTTTTTTTAATTTCATGTGTGAAGTGGATGTACACTTAACTTCTCTTTATTTATTTTTTTTAAAGCTTTATGATTCCCAACAGATTTGTACCTTTCAACTAAAATTAATTAACACTACAAGCTGTCTAAAATAATAATTATTAAAAATATTTCCGAAATTGATTCTGGGCATTAATTTAAGACAAGATTAAGATTATTAAGAGACGCACTTTAGAATCCTAATGTGAAGTAATAAAAACTTTTCATGTATTAATTTGGTAAGTTTTGAGAGTGATTTTAGTTCATAAAATAGCAATGGTTTAAAAGATTTCTGCTAATGTAGCTTAAATATATTTTGTATTATTTTTTGCAGGAAAGTCGTGAAGGAAGAGAAAAGTTTGCTAAGAAAAATAAGAAAAATCCTAGTGCTGGTAAAACTCAAAAGGAGCATAACAAGCGGAAAGCATTTATGATGATAAAACACAAAGTTAGGTCCAAAACAAAACGATCTTTTAAAGATAAACAGGTGTGTATTAAGCTACTTTAATTTGAAAATTTAAATACTGAAACAATTTATTAGCAAAGTTTTAGCATTCTTTGGTTAAGTAATAAAAGTTATCTTAATAAAAATCTATATTAGATAATCTTTTTACTTTTGAATTATCTACTTAAGAAGATATTAAAAATTTTATTTATTAATTATATTTATGAACTATATTAATTGTATAGTTTCACCTTTTGTGCTATCAAATAGGAAATGTCAGTGATACGAATACTAACAGGGTCGATAAAAATCATGATTTTTTATATTTTTTTTTAAATAAAAAGATTAAAAAATTGGCTTATTCTTTAATTTAAATTAAAACATATTTTTGTTTAGTGTTTTAGGAAAAAATGTATATCAACTTAAATTTTGCTTTTTCAGATTTCCTTGAGGAATGCATTGTTAAAACGAAGAAAGAATAAATAGGCTGTAATAGTTTTGTAAACCTCCTTTGTAAATAAAATTATTGTATATATATCTGTACATATTTCTTTGTTCAGACCTTTAAACATAGCTAGTGTAGCTTTGGATGATACTTTTTTTAATAGGTGAAATTATTATATTGTTTCCCTTAATTGTTAATTGTACTTAATTACGCTTTGTTATAGAAAAAAAAATACTATGAATGTTATTATTTTCTTCTCATAAGTAAACTTAACAAGCTCTTGAGCTTGATCCCATCTCTTTCCAGTTAAAAAGCTACTACTAGATAATTATTATTTGTCTTACATGACAATATTTTTGATCAACTGAATTGTTAGTTAAATGAATTGGTAAAACAAATGTATGTTATGTATTTGAATTCACTTGATAATCATGCAATTCTGATCTATATAACTAATAATTCAATTAAAGAACAATTCAATTAACCTTTGGCGTACAGAGAGAGCAATTTTAGACATTTGTCGTGCTCTCTCAATAGAAAATGTTTTGCTTTTATGCCATCCGGAGCTGGTACCCCCTGAAGACGTCAGCTACGGTTGTCATATTTATTCATTGTTTCTTTTGTTTCAATTCCTTTTGGATTTTCTGCTGCTTAGTGTGTTTTTCCACTGGAAGTATTGTTTTTAATTGCTCTAATTATTTTGATTTCTTTTCTTAATATATTAATTCAATTAAGTAATATATAATCTTTGTAAAGAGAATGTCATAGTCTCATGTGAGTTAAAATTGTTGCTTTTTCTGGGTTTTAAAAAATCTAGGAGATTTTAGAAAGATTATCAAGATTGTTTGGGTTATTTTCAAGTTTGTTGTTTTTCTGCATTTTTGATGTTTTTAGTTATTTGGAATAAATATTGCAGACTTCTTAAATGATTTAAATTCATGACAATAATCGCAATTTTATTGCAAAATTAAGTCATAAATATTCATAAACATTACTTTAAATTACATGATTAATTAGATGTAATACCAATAATAAAATAAACCTTAAAATGTTGGATTAAAAAAATAATTATTCAGTTATGCAATCAACTATATCATAAAAGTATATACACACTAAACAAAATGGAAGTACTAAAAGTAAATATCTTTTTTTATTTAGTAATTTTTTAACTATACTTTCCAACATTTAGTTTTTGCCAAATATATATTCCAGTATTAGTGAACAAGTAGAATTTATAAGGCTTTTACCAGAAACTCCTTTTTTTATATAATATTTATTTTTTTAAAAATATGTATCACTTAACCATCAACCTTAAGGTCTTCATACCTTTCTATCAAATTTTTCTTTTTCATATCATTACCTATTAAACACTAAAATAATTTGAAGGTTATATTATATCTATTTTTTAACCATCCTTGAACAACTGACCCAATTTTTTGGGTTTACGACTACTAATGTTCAAATCTGTAGTCTTGTATTTTTGAACCCAATCCAGAAGGCAAGAGAACTCCTTTATCAAGTATTGGGAGAAATTTGTCTTCGACTTTTTTTAGGGAACTAACCAGCATTAGCGTTACATGGAGAGAAAAACCATGAGAACTTCCCGTGATTAGCCTAACGGTGAGACGACTTTAACCCATGATCTCTCTACCACTGAGGATATTTCACATCATCACTGGTTGGTGCAATCCGGTGCAGAATTCGTATTGACCAGTCATCGCTGGGATTCAACCAGGTTCGTCCGATCGGAAGGCGAACACTCTGCCCCCTGAGCCATTGCAGCTCATATTTTCTATTAATAAAAGTGTCGAATGTAGGATGACCCTTCCTCTTTAGTTTTATTTTTTATTGACAGAATTCAATCAAATGCACATATGGCTCTGAAGAATTAATGAAGTACTGATATGTGTGCAGGTAAATTTTCTCCCAATAACTATACTAGTCTACAACTATTGTAACAATAATTCTAGGAATCTATTATTTTTCATACTTTTTTTATAATCTTTCATTAAATTTTCATGCAACTTAAAATTAGTTCTAAAAATCATGTTTCTTTGCTGTTTTCGGTAACTAAATTTTGATTTTGAAATTGTATTAGCAAAACAAAAAAGGTGTCACTAACGTCGAATTGGAAAAGTGATGTCCTGATTATGTTAAAAGGGAAAATCTCAAACTCTTGAGATTTTTTTATCGGAAATAAATATATTTTTATCTTTATTTATAAAATTCCAATATTTAAACATTACTTACTCTTTTTTTTTTTTTAACTAAATGTTAAAGAGACACGTAACCGGAACTACTTTTGAATTTCTTCATGTGTGTTTTCCAGGAAACACTATTTTTAAACTTCATCCCGTCAACAGTTTCAATTGGTTTCTATTACTTTTTTATAGGATTAAAGAACATCGCATTTTTCTTAATGTAATCCAAGATTTTTATATCCTTTATTTCAAATCTTAAATGAGCTTCATAACTCTCTTTTTTGTTTTATCCAAAGCTAGAAAAATTAGAATATTCCTTTACTACATTGTAGTGAATTAAAAACATTGTTGAGAAAAATTCCTATGCATAATCGTTTTAATAATGTTAATATATATGTATTTATTATATCTAATGCCGGACTCAAGATGAAAAATGCCTACAATAAAAAATGGGGCAAAGCAGGATTGCCATTTCATAGGGAGAATAAAGGGAATTTAAAAATCACCTGAAATAACAGGGGATATGGAGTTTTTCTTTAGAAACTGGGAATTTTGTTTTTCATTTTAGTCTTTTAGAAAATGGTGACCATTCAAAGTGCACTCTATGGGATATTTCAGCTATATTGGACTAGTTCATTTACTTAAGCATTATTTGTTATAAGTATGTTCAGCTCTTCCTTTTTTCTCTTTCAGCAATTATAACTTGTAGAGTTAGCCTAATACACTTGTGTTTCCTCTTAATATATTGTGTATAATATGTACAGGGAAGTTTTTTTTTTTCTGCCCCAGATTTGAGTAGCAACCCTGTTAAATTTTATATATATAAACAAATAAGTTTAAATCTAGATAAAGAGCTTCTACTATAAATATGATGTTTGTATTTAAAAGAAGGGGGGGGGGGCATTTTTTTAAAATCCAACCATATCCTCTCTTTAGTTGAATTATAAATTGCTTATTTTGCTCGCTATTGCAGAAATAATACAATCCCTTTTCTGAAATACCAACCTCCTAAACCGCGGGTGGGCAAGTTAGACAAGATAAGGATGTAAAATAGGATTGTATATTGGTAAGTAAATTAAAAATCACCTAAGAAAGCCATTCATATTTAAAAAGGACAAATTCTATAAATATTGTTTATGCCAAATTAAATGTCACAAAAAAAGGCTCAGTACAAAAATAATTCAGGGAAAGCTCTAAATTACATTAAAAACTAGTTTGAACCCAAGATGAATACCCTCACCTCCAAGGTAAACTTTGTCGCCATCTTGAATTGACTGGGGTATCAAAGGTGGAAAATGTTTAAACTTAACCAAATGGAAAAGTCAGGTATTCTCTCTGATGGATCTCATATTATTATTTATTTATTTTTTTGAAAGATTTGAAATGACATCAAAATCAAGTATTCAAACTAATGGTTAAGAAGGTGTCAGGAGTTGAATATATTCCTATTTATTAATCTGAAATTTCTATTCAAACAAGACATTATTTTCTACGTTGAAACAAAATTATGCTGCTTGAACTGATAATTCGAAAGTTATTAAAACTTTTGTAAAAAATACAATTTATGAATGAAAAGTATAGTTTTGTGCTTATACCTTTCTATCATTGCTACAGTAAAAAATAAAATATTGGGTAATATTTTTTTTTCCGTCTTTACCCAAAATTGAATGTGATTAATAATTTAGAAGTTAATAGTAGATAGGATTAATAATTTAGTCAAAAAATTTTCATGTATAAAAACAACAATTCTTGTATTGATGCGTCTAACATGTCATCCTGACAAGTGTGGTATTGTTTCGAATGTATTTATTTAAGTTAAATACGATGAAATTAAAAATTGGTAGAACTCATAGTTTCAGAGTTATAAACCTTTTTAAAGTTGTGTATTGGATGCTGCAAAAAACACCTTTTGATCACTTGAAACCAAGCGAATTGGTTTTCGTCTGTTAAAGCAAAAAAAGTACTTTTTAAAACAGGCAAAAAAATTACAAAATATCTATACAAAATTAATAATCGCATATTCTTATAACTTGAATGTTTTAAGAAATATCCTTAAGAGCTATCAAGTTATAATAAAGCGAAGCTTCCTTTGAAAGATACTCTGCTACGGAATGGAATTTGATCAAAGTTCGTGAAGAACGATAAAAAAAAAATTAAAAAAACAATCTAATTAAAAGATTGTGAGAGAAGAGAAAGGGCTTTTCAAATAGCCACCGATTTTTTTTAGAATATTTTTGACGATACAATATTTTATGGCTTAATGCGTTTCAGAAAAGATGTAATGTTCAGGCTCTGCCCCATTAGATTAGGGAAAATAGCACTTAATAGCTCTTTGAACATCTTGGGATTTTTATTTTTTAAAATAAATTTAGAATAATAATAATATGAGTTTAATGATTTTGGACAAGTATTTTAATACAAGATTATAATTTTGGATAGGTTAGAGAAAACAAATACCATTACATTTGCATGATAAAACAAAATCTATTAATTTTCATATTTCATGTAAATCCCTAAGTGCATAGAATATTAGGGTGATTTTTTTTCTTCTTTTCTTTAAAATAGAAAGACCTCGAAATTATTTTAAGCGATTGAACTTGACTGAGTTTTCGAACAATCTATAATGGCATTCATTGACTTAGACCACTTAGCACCCAATGAGTGATTTAGAAGTTTCCTCATTCAAATTCTCGAAACTTTGTCTAACAGTCCAGACGATATTTTTTTCTTCACATTGGAGTGTGGTGGAATATTGCAGTTTTCGTTTGAATATTAGGTAAATTTTTTGCTTTTCTTTTTTATTGGATTTATGAGTGAACTGTATCCGTTGTTTATTCCATCTTTAACAATTAATGAAGAATTAATTTTCCGGTCATTGCTGCAAATTCCTAAAATTCTTGCGTAAAGAGCATTTCGACCTGAAGTGATTATTTGTCACAACGAATTTTACAGTTCTTATAAAAGTTGCACACCATCTTTAATAGGTTATAGAGTCAAGTATCATGGAAAGGTGTCGATAATCACGTATTTTGATCTTCACACTATAATGAACTAAATGAATTTCATTTAATGTTTGGATGGAAACGAAGGATTATCTGTAAGTATCTTTTTTATTCATAATTTAATTTTTCGACTTTCTCCCAAAATCTTTGCGAGTTTTAAAAATAATTGTGGATGTTTAATTTTAAACTCTATTTATTAAAATAAAACTTTATGAACTTATCATCGAACTAAAATTCTGATTATAAATTTATTTTACATAATTGCCGTTGCTTTAAAAATGTTACACTTGTAAAATGGATGAATGATATACATTGAATTTTAATTTTAGAAGCATTGAATCAGTTCCGATTTCAATAAAGTGTTTCTGCAACAGAAATATTTATCAGCTATGCTATTATATTTATTCATACACAAGCACACACAATAGACTAGTTGATTAAAATAAAGAAAGTTGGACAAAATTTGTCGATTTTCTCCAAATTTTACTAAAATTTGGTCGATGCATAAGTGTTGATTTACTACAAGAAAATTACGAGACGTTGGTAAGCATTCACACTCCTCTAAGTCAAAAGGTATGAAACAGTGATTACTGAGACTAACGAAAAAATATTTAATTGGAAATGTAATCTTCTCTTACAGGACAGATAAACAGACGTGAATTGAATGCTATCACCATGACTTTATATTCGAAATAAGTCTGGTTAAGTGTTCCAACTAGCAATTGGTGCCAATCATTCAGCAACATTGTTTTCAATTCACTTCTCACACCATCCATCATAAACATGCTCTTATATTGTTGAGGCTGGCTAGTTCATCCTGCTTATCTTCATTTTTTAGAAAATCTAACCTGATGTTCTTTTATTTGACTCTGACTACTTGCTGTCATCCATAAATATGAAAGCAGGACCAACTTCCTTGAAAATGCAGACATCCAAAACCTCAACCCTATACCGATACATCATCAGTCGTAGTGACTCAGAAGATAGAGAGCTCACCCCCTCATGAGAGGATCCGGGTTTGAATCCTGCCCCCGGCTCGCACCAACCATAGTGCTGACAAAAAATATCTTCAGTGTTAGACGGATTATAGGTTAGAGTTCACTTGTCGTCAGGCAAACCATGCCTGGTTTTCGTGGTTTACCTCTTCACATGTAGTTTCATCAAAAAGTCCTCCTCGAAGGCAAATTTCTCCCAATATTTGATCCAGTAGTTCCCTTGTCTTCTGGATGGGGTTCAAAATTACAAGGCTACGGAGTTAAACTTTGGTAGTCGTAAACTTAAAATTGGATCGACTGTTCAACGACCGCTATTAGATGTCTCATCAGGCCCGTAGCCAGAATTTCTGGTCAAAGGGGGTGGGAGTATCATATTTTTCAGTTGATATCTTTTTGGTTTATATATTTTATAAAACTATATTTATTAAGCATATAAAAATGTATTGATAGTGAGAGCAATTCATATTAACTAGTATAACTATTAACTTAATTTGATAAAATTTTTATTTTTTTTAAAGTCTTTTAGGAGGCACTGGTAGGTGGGGTAGAACTCCCTCAACCTCTGACCCGTACCTCATACTCCCGGTTTATCGGAGGTAACTTTGGTGTGTCATTGAGGAACGTTTTCTCAACCACTCTGCCAGGAGCAGTGGTGGCTTAGCACTCGCCTCCCAATGCGGTGACCCGGGCTGGAATCCCAGCCTGCTGGTTGGCTGGTATATATGAATTCTGTTCCTGGCTGGCACCGACTACAATGCTGATATAAAATATTTTCAGTCTCAGACGGATCATGGGTTATAATCCCCTTTCCATCTGGCTAGCCGTAGGAGGTTTTCCTCTCTATGTACGGCAAATGTGGGTTAGTTCCTTCAAAAACTAGTTTATTCTAGTGTTTGATTCCTTGCCTTCTGGATCGGGTTCAAAGTTACGGAATCAAAATAGGGTCGGCTGTTCGATTTAAATTATATTCACTCTACTGATTTCAAACTAATCGGTTTTTAATTTCTATTTTTCTTTCCTTGCCTAGAAATTTCACATTTAAAAATTAGAACATTTAAATTGATTATACACTCATAAATGTAACATACAAAATCGATCTCTACTTCACTTATTTATTTGGTCATTGGAAGAAGCAAAAAAGGAACGCTTAATTTTATTAAAAAAACATCTGAACCATAATCAAATATGTTGATAACTGAACATCGATATCTCGACGCGATTTTTCTTCAACTGTATCAAATTAATTAAACAAAAAAATGAAGTAAAATATAGTGGTTCCCAAACACGGAAATCTCTTTCAAAGTTGTCCCAATCGAATTTATCAAGGTAAATTTTATTAATTCAATTCTTCTTTAAATAGTTTCTCTTAAAGAAATGAATAAACACTTAATGGAGAAGAAATTTAATTAGCGTACTTCAAAACACTGTAGGTAAAAAAAATATATATTTAAGAAATTCTTGCGTGTTATTATTTTTTATGCCTTTCTTCATATTGATTTGGTTTATTAATATTGTCCATTTATTGGAATACAAGAAAAATTGCTATTTTTTTTAAAATGTAAATGTTTTCTCTTTTTTATACCTTCATTTATGTTTACATATGTTGCGATGTTGTTTAAAATACTAATTTATAAGTCTAATTTTAAAAAAAATACATAATAAAGAGCCATAAATATTTAAGAGGATGAGATTTTCAATCAATGATTTAAAAGTCTAATTAGGTAAATAGTAGCAAAACACGAAAAAAAAGTGATATCAACCTTGTGTTAGCAGTTTTAACCTCTTCTATTTTAAAAAGTCAAGTCAAACGAAGTATAAATCTACATTTTTACATCTATGTATGTCATCACCAGTTTTCTAATTTTTTAGGAAACATGAAAATATAGTTTATTAATGTTTCGAATTCGTAGCTTCATTTCAGAAATCCCAAATAAATTACAATAGCGCACACATGAACTGCTGCTATAAATAATATTATATTTTAAGAACAGCAGATTGTGTATTAAAAAAAAATGTTGTTAGTGCAGGTTATTTTTTATTATTTTTACCTTTACATAATGAGATACCTGGAAGTGACGTAGTGTGGGTGAGAGAAAACCTTATTTTGAAGCAATTAGAGTTAATATAATTCATATCTCTCCAATAATAGTATTCATTCTCTTTAAAATCTGATTCAATTATTTCGCACTATACAGCACATAAAACGTCTTTATGAGCTGTGGCGTAATTTAAATTGCGAAGAAAAATTAAAAAGAAATAACTCAGCTGAGATTATCACTTATTATATTCACTCACGAAGCGCTTTCAAATGAAGTGTTATATTGGCGAGTGAAGATTTGATTTCAAAAAGTTTGACATCATTTGAAAAGAACCTTCATACGGAGAAGATTTCAAAAAAGAATATAATGAAGGTTATACACAGTCCAGTCACATTAATGTGACCACCACCTACTTTCGACGTCAACGTGAAATAATCAATCACAAAGTGCATGTGGCAGCCCATTACAGTGTAGTGTATATATTGGATGTCCAAGGGCATCGAAAAGCATTTCAGTCGTTGGCGCAATGCAGAAACGTAGCGATTTATCCGACATCCAAAAGGGCATGATTATTGGCTTTCGGACCAAGGGTGGAAGCATTTCGGAAATGACTGATTTTGTGAACTGCTCGCGTGCCGCCGTGGTAAAAGTATTCCGTGCATGGCAAAATGGCACTATACAAAACAAGCGGCGTGGCACATGTGGTGCACCACGGGCCAAAGATGGAAGAGGCGAACGAAGGCTACGGAGATGCGTTCAGACGAATAGACGTGCAACTGTTGAGCAACTGACCGCCCAAATGAACCAAGGGGCTACCAAGAGTGTATCCTCAACAACTGTTCAGCAAACGTTGCTGCGCATGGGCCTCCGCAGCAGACGCCTGGTTAATGCACCCATGCTGACTGCTGTTCATCGGTGACGAAGGCTGGAATTTGCACGCCAGTACCGCAACTGGACGTCCACAGAGTGATAACAGGTGGCTTTTTCCGATTAATCACATTTTAGCTCCATGGGACAGATGGACGTTGGCGTATACGGCGTGAAACGTCTGAAAGCAAACACCCTGCAACAATTGCCGGAAGGCTGCAGGCTGGAAGAGGGAGCGTTATGGTTTGGGGAATGTTTTCCTGGCATTCACTGGGTGCACTCATCATTGTGGAAGGCACGATGGATCAGTACAAGTACGTATCTGTCCTTGCGGACCATGTCCACCCCTACATGCAAATGATTTTTCCTCAGAATGATGGCATCTACCACCAGGACAATGCGAGGTGTCATACAGCTCGCAGTGCATGTGCGTGGTTCGAAGAACACCAGGATGAATTTACCGTACTCCCCTGGCCAGCAAACTCACCGGATTTAAACCCAATCGAGAATCTGTGGAACCACCTCGATCGGGTTGTTCGCGCCATGGATCCTCAACCGCGTAATCCAGCGCAGCTGTCCACGGCACTGGAGTCGGCATGGCTCTACATCCCAGTGAACACTTTCAGAAACCTAACTGACTCTCTTCCTGCACGTCTCGTAGCGGTTCGCTCTGCCAAAGGTGGTTATTCTGGATTTTGACAGGTGGTCACATTAATGTGACTGGACTGTGTATTTTAATCCTACTGTTATAATAAGAAACGTATATTAAAATAGTCTTTAAAACTAATACGCATAAATTGTAAGCCGCATTTCTATAAATTTATTTATTACCCAATAGTGGCACGAATTTATAGTAATGTCGCCAAAGTAATAGAAGTCAACTAGCCGCCGCAGATAGTTAATTAATATAATTTTTCCCAAAGTATGGGTCGCTGAGAACATGCTCAGCTCTTAATTTTTAACATTATTTTCAATAGAAGGATTTCTTTTTTCCGAAATTCGTAGTTATTTTCAGATCTTAGAAATCACGTCTCTTTAATAAAAATAATTAATATACGCGCCATCAATCATTCATATCGTATGTGAATGAATATCATATAAATATTTTTATGAAGACATGAAATAGAACCGTGAGAAATGTCTGTAATGAAAATCATTCAAAGTGATGAAATGCTTTCAAAATCAATTAGATGGTTTAATGAAAAGGAAACGGAGCTCCGGAGTATTATTTTTGTAATATTTTTGTCGACACAATTAAAGCAGGTGTACTACATGAGTGAAGACTTCAAAAAGAATCAACTATATCAATTTGTTTAGAAAAAGCAAGATATACTTTATATGATTTTATCACCTCTAGGATCCTATACCGCGGGAGAATCTCTGCATGGTAAATTCTCTTTCTATTTACGTTAGTAATATCATATAAAATATGGAAGGAAAAAATAAACAGTCCAGATAAGGGTTGGCATAGTTAATTTTACGATTTAAATCACTAGATTTTTTTTTTAAATCATTGATTTAAAGCAATTGTGATTTTTTTAAAAAGAATTTATTGATTTAAGCCAAATGATATTTTTACAATGAATCATTATATAAGTCTAAAATATTCTTATACTATGTTCATAAAAATATTCTAAGCGTTTTTATTATTTTTTTTAAGTTTGATTTTATTAATAAGGTTTTTATTCAAATCGAAGAAGAAAGAATGAAAGGGGGGATGTTAGTAAATTATTACATTTTAAAATTAAAATAAACATAAAAAAAAGAGAAGTCTAAGTGAGAAAAAGAGTGGCGGGAAACTTATTAACTATAATTTTCTATCCGCTATGCGTGAAATAATTTGCAGGTAATAAACATGCATTCTGCTAATATATTCATTTAAATTAAAGTGCTTTTAATACTTATTAAATAGGTAGTTAGATAATATCAATAATGAAGCAAAGACTCGTTCTGCCCAGGGAAACTTGCAGTATGTTATTTTTCTTTAATGTATTCTGATCTAAACTAATTTACTTTTGATTGGATTGGACAAATTGAATCCCGTCTTTCAAATTTTACGATGTCTAGGTTGGAAAAAAAATCATGCTTTTATTTTTATTTGTTCATTGATTAGTTTATAATAAATAATTATTACAGTTTGAATAACTATTAACAAATAACTATTTTATTTAGATTATTGTTTTTAAACAATATTATGCATTATTAGTAAATTTTATCGCATGATTTAGCTGGTAAAATTCAAAAAAATCTGATTCAAATATAAAAAATCTACTTTAAGTAAAATAAATTCGATTTCTTTCTTTTCTTTATTTAAAAAAAAATTATTTTGAAAACTCTGGCACGGATTAACAAAGAATCAATTATGAAAAAAAACACAGAATATTTTAAACACCGAATTATTAAAACACAGATTTTTTTCCCCATTCAAAATATCAAATGGGGGGAAAAAATAATGTTATTTTTTTAATTCTGCCCCCTATCAGCTAATCCTGCCATAACTTGTTTGCAATTTGATATTTAGGAGGGGAAAAAATCAGCATACTTTTTGTTTATTGTAACTGATTTTTTTCTTCACTTTAAATTTAAATTTACTAATATATAGTATATATTACTATACCATAACATATATTTTGTATATATATATTACTTATATAGCTTCTCTTGGGATATAGCATCCTCTTAAAGGGAGTCCTCTTTAATATTTATTTATATTACTATTATAGTTACTATATTTATATTTACTCCCATCCTTATATATTTTTTTTTTCAATGTAATATAAACAGCAGAATTAAAATATTTATAGTCAATTTCAGTTCACAAAACTAAAGAATGAAATGAAAAGAAGAGGAGTGGACAGTTTAGAGAGTTGGGTGGTAGCCTTAGCAGCGAGTATGGTTCTCTTGTTAGCATGCTGGCCCATGAGATTAGGCTCCCAACTCTTCGTTGAAATGTTAGACCGCTACAACACAAACAGAAAAGCAACTTCTTTTCCTTTCGCCATGGCTTATTGCGCAAGAAGTTTATCTGGTAATTATTTTTACACATTTATCCTTATTCGCATACAGATTCCACGGATGGTGTTCCAAGCTATGAACTCCTCTTGCCACAAAGTGTGAGGCCGTCTGTTGCTATGGAAACAAGAATGGCGCATTTTAGGTAGGGTAGCTTCACTCTAGGACTAACACAATAGAACGAAGAAAGAGATTCTCTTTCTCTCGACAACCCGACTCGAAACTACTCCAAAACAGTGAGCCCGCACCCCCGCTTGAAATAGTCATACCTCGTTACCATAGTCACAGCCACAGGTTCAAACGAATGTCTTGGGGAGTTCTTATTTTAGACAAACTATACAAATGAAAGCAAACCTTTATTTACCTTCACGACTTCCGGTAAGAAAGTTTACAGCTGCTTGCTACAGTTAATTTCCAAGCAGATAATTTTGTTTTCATATAATTTCTGAGCTTAAATCAGTTACATGTCATAAGATATTCATGTTGTTAAGTAATTCAAGTGCGTTCGAAGTGAAAATTTGTTTTAATTATTAATGGATACATTTTTAAAAAAGCGATATGGTTGCTATATTTAGAAAAAAAACACGCTTTTTTGGCAGTCTTCATTAGGCTTCTTTTCAGTTGTTCTTGTTGCAAGCAGTGCACCGTGCATGCGTTAGCATTTAGCTCGAGTAGCGAGACTAAGTTTATTTTGCAAATTATCATTTTGAACAGAAAACATACTCAACACAGTGAACACGTTAAGCCAAAGGGCCTCAAAATACACCGGAAATATTTATGAGAACCTGCGACGCACCCCAGTGTAAAAACACCATCATCATTTTCATTAAAAATTCTGAAAAAATAAAAAAATTATTTCGATGTTGTTCTCTTTTAACAGGTCCTTTTGCAGGATTTCTTGGTGAAAAATTTGGTCTACAAGCTGTGACTCTGTGTGGTTGTGTATTACTAACTATAGGAGTTGGTGGATGTTTTTTTGCAGATGGGATCATAGCAATTGATGTGTGCTTGGGAATAATATACGGTAATCTTGATTTCTGCCATCTTTTATAGATATATATTTCTTTCAAATAATTTATAGGAAATTATTAAGCTCATTTTTTACCGATAATAGCTTCTGTTGAATTCATTAAAAAAAGTGGTTTTCTCTAATCACCGCCCAATATAATTCAAGTCAGAATAGTACATTAAGACTTGTAGAAATGCTTATTTAATGAGAAGAGAAAACATTCATCAAAACCAAACGGATTATCAAATTAGCTCACTATAAAAATCGAATCCCCTCGACTTATTAGGTAAAATATGAACATTAGTCTTAGTAATTTATCGTTAAATTATTCAACTTAAATTTCTAGTTAAATCTTTATTTTTGTATTTCTGTAATAAATATTTGCTTACGATTCTATGTAAGCCATAAGTTCCCAAACTATAGTTTTTTGGAAAAGAGTGATCAAAGTTCACCAATTCATAAATCATTTAAGATAATTAAAAAAATATTTGGACTTAAAAACACTTATGAAAAGTTTTTCTTTTTACTATGACCTTTCCATGGTTAACATACAAATACTTTTAATGAATTTGTTATTGACGCCATAATTTGATTTGTAACAAATTATAAAACTAGTTTAATAAAAACGTGAAAAATGAATTAAAATGCACTATTTCAAAGAAATAGCAAAAGCGACAATTGTTTAATTTTAGTACAGCTGAAATAAAATAATTTATGTATGTAAAGTCACGTCCGTATAAAAAAAATAAATACTGATTAAATAAATAGATAAATAAAGCACTCTTTCAACAGCCTGTCGTCGGCCAAGGGAGTTATGGATGTTACGCACTAGGCAGCCTGGTACCCATCAATCTGAAGTTATGTAGGCCTCGTTAAACCAACCAACGGGGTGTGTAAATAAATAAAAGCTGGTCAAAGTAACAAGTCAAACATTCTATACATATTTCTCTCCCATGAAGTTGATTTTAGTTTATTATAGGTCGCATAGGAGGGGGGGGAGGAGCCGAATGCTTAATTATAAAAATAATTTATATACTAAACATATTTACTTTAGCAATGGGATAAACTAGCCTTACATGCAAAAATATTTTTTTTTTAAAGAAACCCTACCACAAGCATGTTACACAACATTTTAGAAATCAAATTATTTTGTCTTAGTGCAAAGTAAAAAAAACTAAGCCCATTTTTCATGGTTTTAAGGTATAGCTTTTGGATGGTCTACAGCTTTGGTTCCTGAAATCATAAATCGACATTTTGACAAGCATAGAGGAAAAGGCCATGGAATTGTTTTTGGACTAAGTGGATTAGCCAATTTTGCAACTCCACCCCTTTTGGATATGATTTTAGTTCACTACGGAGTATCAGGAACATTTTTGATTATGGCTGGTATAATCTTGCATAGCGTGCCTGCTGCAATGCTCTTGACCAAACCTAGACCTGAAATCGAAGTAATCAGAAAACGCAAAAACTCAATTTCTTCAAGTGACTTACACCATATTAGTGTTTCATTGAGCAATCAAGCTACGAATGGCGAAAATTATTCGAAAGAAGTCCTAAACGGCGGCGAAATATGTTTTAAAAACATTCATTATTCTAAAGTAACTGAAAGTAACTTTTACTTGAATAACATAATAGGACATAAAAATATTGAAAACAAAGAAACATTAAATTCTGAGGAACCAAACACTGTTGTTAAATCGAATAATCTGTTCATGAAATTAGAAGAAAATATTAAATCCGATGGTTTCAGTCAAAAAAACGACATGAAAACCTTTAAATGCTCAGTCTCAAATATTCTGCCAGAAAATGCACCAAAGGATCAAAACCATGAAAAGAAAGCAAAGCACTCGGATTTGGGAAATCAACGGTTATCGAGCAATAAAGACCCAGAAAGTAAGCCATTTTGTAGTTCGTTCAACATATTCTGGAACCCCGTGTATTTACTTGTAACATTCATTCAAAGCTCGCACGCATTTCTAATGTATATATCGTGGACAATCATGGTGGATTTCGCTAGGGACAAGGAAGTTGAAGAACACTTAGAGGTACATTTTGTAATGGGTCTTCTGTTATTCGACACCATAGGTCGAACATTTTTAGGTACCATAATAGATAAGAAGTATTTGTCAGTTTCTAATTTCAGTGCCTCTTGTTTTGCTGTAATGGGACTTTCTTGCCTGCTTCTGATATTTGTGTCAGGTTTCTCTACAGCTATTTTTGCCATCTGCTTGTTCGGATTTGCATGCGGTGGAAATACAACTGGACTTCCAGGCATAGTGACCGAATTCATTCCAAAAGAGCAGAGAGCTATGGCAATGGCATCAAGATTCCTTATGTACGCCCCCATGAGCTTTGCCATGTCACCACTTATTGGTAAAAGTGTTATAATTTTTTAGTGATAAGTTTGCTTAGTAGTTAAGAGGACGCTATACCAATGGAGAAACTTTCCGTCACACATTTTCATACCCCTCCATAAATAATTTGAAATTTACAGGGTCAATCCGAGCTCATTTTTACGAATCAATTCAATCACGACTTCAGCTCAAAATATCCGGAAAATAATGTATTCGACAGTAGGGACTCAGAAAATATTTACAACCTCCTTTATGACGGACCATTCAAAGGCTTCCGGAAAAGCGAATAACATTTCTCTTCCCCATACGTGACAAAGAACAGACTATTTCTATTGACCGTCTCCAACCAGCATTTGGCTTTAATATTTTCTATATTAATGAATAATAAAATAATGTAATCTCTCTTTTAAACAGTCTCCTGAACATTAAAAGCAACCAACACCACAAGTGTATGAAAAGTTGTGATGAAAAGTTTCAGTATGGCGTCCACTTCAGAAAATTGCAATAAATAATAGCAGGTAAAAAACAAAAATAACAGTTAAACAGCAATTTTCAATAGATTTCGACTTTAAAATTCATAAAAACTTTATCTATTCCTGTTTTAAACGTTCAAAACTATTACAAATTTATATTAAATAGAGTTTAAGAAATATATTTAATTTTTATATGTATAGAGGGGTTGAACAAAATAATGAAAACACTTCTATACTTACTCACATTTCTCAAGTAATATTTTAAAATTTTAGAAGTGTTTAGGTCACGCGATTTCTCATACATACCATTAAAGTTTAAAGCATTAAATTACGAACGAAAAAAAATGTTTCTGAAATGCCAAAAAATATATCTCTTGTATCAATTATACGTTGATTATCCATGAATAATAACTGCACAAAATTTCGTTAACTTAGCTTAAATATTCATGGAGATATGAATATTTTTTATAAAAAACTAATTTTTTAGTCTTACATTTCTTGTTGTAGCTATAACATTGAACAAAATTTGTAGAGTAATTTTTAATTAATAATAAAAATACCATTTTACAAGTTGACAAAAAATTCGTTAAAAGTTGTAATCCTTTCATACTACGCGGCAAACATTTAAAAAAAAATCTTTCTTCATAATTTTGTTTTGAATCGTATTTGGTAGCTTATGTTTAAATATCTTGAAAGTTTACAAAGTTTCTAGCGATTTTTGGTAATTCTTGCAAAAAGATTTGAATAGTAAGCAATTTTCCACAAATTTAATTTTGTATTTTTTTTTTTTTAATATTTTCCGTGCATATTTCAGTAGCGCGTAATGAGTATTTAAAGTAATCCTCTCAGTGCGAGAGGATTACTTTAAATACTCATATCTTGCGCAATTTTTACCGAATTTTCTAATTTTAAAATATTTTTATTATTAATTAAAAATGACTCTTAACATTTTGTTTAATTTTACATAATATTTCAGCAGTTATAAAAAGAAAATGTAAGTAAAAAAAAATTAGTTTTATTTATAAAAATGTTCACATCTCCGGGAATATTTAAGCTAGTCTACCAGATTTTGTACAGTTGTTATATATTGTACATGATAATCAACGTAATTGATACAAGTTACAAGATTATGGCATAGAGTGTTCAAAAACATTTCTTTTGTTTGTGTGTAATTTATTGATGGACAATCAAACCTCTAAAAGCCTTTTATCTTTATTGATATATATAAAAAACAGCGAGACCTAAACACTTCCAAAGTTTAAAAATAATTCTCTAAATATTTCTTGAGAAATGATGAAGTAAGTGCTTTCATTATTTTAACCAACCTCGGTGTTTTATAATAATTTAATCCTTAACTCAGATGGTCCGATTCCATAGATAAGGACTTTCTCGAACTGAACTGTAAAACCGTTGCGGAGAACAGGTCAGGATGGAAGGGAACACTCGAGAAGGCTAAGGCCCATTTTGGGCTGTCGTGCCAATGATGATGATGATAATTTAACATAATTTTAAAAATACAATGAATTATGGGAATATTTAAAAGCAAAATTTAGTACAAAATATAATTAGATATTTATGTACAATATGTGCATAATGATAAGATTAGAAATGTTATGACTATTTTCAAAATTATATATTTTTGATATTTTAATACACTTGACTAGATTGGAAATTTTTAGATAGTGTGCTAACTTAGGATGCCCAAATCTTCCGTTCAGTTCATTTAAAAATGTTATATTTATTTTTCTACCAAGTTAATATGTTTTGTTAACTTTTAGGTTACTTTCGTGGTAAGCTGGGATCTTATGATGGTCTTCTTTATGTTATGATCGCAGTTAGCATCACTTGTAGTTTTTTATTGGTATTTTTCCCTCGATTAGTAAACTGCATAAGAGGCACAGTGAAATGATACTATTCCACTATCTTTTATTGGGAATACTTTTGTTCTGGCACTGATAAAAACCACTTTTATAATGCTCAAAGAAAACTGAAAAAGTAACAGTGCACACATATAACAGAGGAAGTTTAGCGCTCAAAGATATTTGAACCATCACCAGATTCAAGTGGAAAAGCTGAGGAAGCATTTTTTAGGTGAATTCGAAGAGAATGTTCATGACATATACATACCTGCCAACTTTTACGCATTTGGCGTAAAATTTTATTTCTATATTTAAGGTGGTAGTAAAATCTATGCTTTCTATATGTTCCTTGCATTTATAAACTTAATTTATAATATTTTTGATCCACCACTATTTTTAAAAAATCCAAGCATATATATTAATATGTAATACTGTTGTAGTTATCTACATAAACTTGTTTAAAATACAGTGAATGTTTCTGCTTAAAATCGTAATTTAAACTTTATTTTACTACCACTGGGGAATATCATCTCTGAAAAGATTAAAAGTTGACAGGTATGCATATATAAGTGGTCAAGACATCGTTATGAGGAAAATAGAAGAAGTTAGTGATAAAATTGGAAAAACTTATTGTTTTTTTTTTGTTGTTGAATAAGTTAAATATGTTATAAAAGTGAACTCTCAATAACTTTTCATTAATAAATAAAACTGTTAAATATATTTTTTTATATCCTTTCACCTGTATACTAAAATGCATTACTAATTAAAATTATAATAATTTATTAGCCTAACCATAGTTATTGATATGCTTTGAATTTTTGATAATGCCTTTATCTATAAATCTCCAAATTGAAAAATACAGACAAGAAATGAATTGAAAAATCTGAATGTTTAATTTTTATGTTATTTATGAAATAAAGTTCATTTATTTTAATATATTAAGATCTGTTTTTGATTTCAGATGCATATACAATTAGTCATGATTAAAATTAAATGGAAAAAACAGTACGGCTGTGAATTCAATTGACTTTGTTGAAACATGGAAATAAATTTTTTTTTTTAAATATGAAAATAGAATCTAAAAAATGAGGTTTTTTTTCCTAACAATAATTTACAAAGTAAATTTTTTAAAATTATTCTCAAATTTAATCTTAATTCTTATTTTTAAATTTATTATTAAACTCTAAATTTGTATTATAATTATTTTTTAAATGTTATGCAACTATGATGCATTTTTTAACCAGATATTAGGTAGATATAATTTGTTACTAAGTTAATAAAACACACTTCATTAAGTACTGTTCATAAAAGATTTATTGTACACAATAACGCAAAAATAAATAAAAAAAATTTGGCAAAAAAAAAGCATTTAAAACAACAGTGAGATTTTTAAACATAATGACTGACTTAAATGTTTATGACAATCTTGGTGTAAAATTCCAAAAATTGCATAAAAATGAAATTATAATATATACAATACAGTTTAAAAGGATAAACACATGCATAACACAATAGGACAATTAAAAAAAAAAATCATACAATATATATTGAATAAAAAATCACAATCAATAACAAATTTTTTAAAGCTATCATTCACAACCATAGGCACTCTTTAGCATTGACCCCAACAACAACTTTCGCTCAAATATTTGCAATGAGTATATCTACAATGTAAAGTTTATCCAAGTAAATTCATAGTAAAGCTTTCTACTGTCTTTTCAAGAAAATAGCCCGCAACAGAACTATTGTTCACCTACTTAAAGATATTAAGGCAAATCAAATTAATCTATGGAATAACAAGTTAATAATTTTCTCTAATTTTTTAATTACTGTCAGTATAATCTTTAAGTTTTTTTCTGAAATTATTTTGAATTCATTTTATAGTGTTTCTTTTAAATATTCAAAATTTACAATGAAATGATAGCAAGTATATGCATGTTTTTTAAAAACAAAAGTGTTTCAATTATTTTTAAACCTTCACTTTAATAACATTATCTCAATTTATATTTATTTTATTATAATTTTAAAATTGATCCAGACAGTGGGTGATGGGTTAATTCAGTCACATGTTTTCAGAAATATTATAAGTCACTTAAAGTATAGACTTCTTTCTATCTTCTATCAGTTTTTTTTTATTAATTATTGATTCGAAATCACATTTATGTTCATAATCCTACATAATAAAAATACCACATTTTTGATTAAGAGTATTAAAGTTTTCTACTTAAAGAAGGATAAAAAGGAAAGTTTATCATTTTTCTTAGCCTAAACCTAACTTTACATAATTTATAAAGTGATACATGGCAATTAAAATTTTTTTTAAAGCAGATAGAATTTCAAATAATTTAAAAATGAAATAAATTTTACATAGATAATGAATATTTTTTAAAAATATGCACATTAATTTTTGTGAAAATTTAAAAAAATAATATTTATAAATGTTTCTATATGATTTTTAAAAATTCGGCATTAAATTTAGCAGTTTGAACTGTAAAAGATCTTCAAATTAACTTGAGAAAAACCTGCACAAGAAAAATCATGGTTTGAGCTGTTTCTTCAATGGACATGCCAGTTCCTTTATTACATAGCAGTGGCGTGCATGAGAGGTAAGGGGTCAACAGCCTTTTGTATAAACTACAGTTATGACTACAGTAAAACTTTATTACAGTTTTTTTCTTTTTTAAATTTATTATTATTTTCTCAAATAGCAGTAAACAAAATTAATTTTAAATATAGGTGAACCAAATAAGAAGTACAAGCTGATACTTTTAAGATTGATTGTAAAACATAATATAATTGTTCAGCAATGAATAAAATCTGCCAATTTATAAGTAATTTTCTTTACACTTCCATTCTTAATACTTATGCAGAGGCAACAATAACATTAAAATATAATAAAAAGTTGAGCAAGATACTCTAAAGCTATAATTTTTTGTCCAAAATTTTGGATCTACTTAATTTTAATATAAAATTAAACTTCTTGTAAGGTAAATATTTGGAGCCAGAAAAATACTTTGTAAAAAATAATATGGAATTTTGAAACAGTTTTAAAATTGTGGTTTTTTGGCATTAAAATACCGAAAAGAATGATCACAATTGAAAATAATTTTTTTAGCATAAAATATTTTACTTTTGAATTTACATAGAAAATTATTAAAATTATGAATTTAGATTTTATTAGTATATGTATCTTTCAAATGTGTATTTTCTTTTATTTACATAGATTTTTTATTTTCCCCTTTCACTCATTCTGTTATTTTTTTCTTTCTTATACACCCACACTCCTCTCATCCCACTGTCACGCATAAAAGAATCATTGCCCAAAGGAGGAAAACCAGAAGGTCAAATGACCTTTTTTAGTTTAATATAATTTTATCACTGAATGTAAGGTTAGGCCAGAATAGTTAAAAAATATATGTATTTTCAGAGAAAATATTGATACAGCATTGTAAATATTAAATTACTTAAAAGAAACACTCAATAAAGTTCTTTTTCAAAAATAGTTTCAAACTTTTTATTACTTATCTGCATGAGCATTTAAGTAGTTTCAGATAAATTTATGTAAGCAATTCTATATATGAAACTTATAAGCAATTCAGTAACAAACATACAACATGCATATTTTAGGACTAGACAAAAATGAGCATAATTCAGTTAATAATGTGTATTAAAACTTGTATTTATTTAAATATTAAAACTTTTATTTGGATTCATAACTAGTAAAATAATTAAAAATAAAAAAATACACAATGAAACATACTAGATGGATTAAAATAAAACCACATGAATAAATATAAAATCAAATTCAACGCAAGTAAATATAATTATTTGAATCATTGAAAGTGCTACAGAAAATTTACAAACATTTTTTAAAAAAATTAATACTCACTATAAGTGTTGTACTTGTATATTAATTTATTTTGATTCATAAATAGATTTGGTGATTATATCACAATAAATAAAACAAAAGGATATTATAATATCAGATGACAAAATTTGTCCAAATACTGAATATATGTTATTGGTAAATATTATTTTCCACATGATTCAAACTGTATATACATTTTCATTTGGAAGTAAATATTTTTTTTAATCAAAATAAAAAGCGAGTTAATCATGGTTCATCAACCATTGTTCAAACAATACTTTATTTAACAATCATCACAGATAGTTTTTTGTAGTATTTCATTAAAAAAAAAGCAAATTTGTTTATCATAAAAATTTTATGTCCAGAAAAAAAAATCTAAATTTAGCACCTTAAACAAATTATTCTAAATTTAAATTTAAAATTATTCATTTATTACTAACTTCAAAGTCAGCAAAATGCAAGATGAAAAATTGTTATTCATTTAACACATAGCCCAAGCTATGGATAAAATAATTCAAAATATTGTTGAAATTAAAATTAAATGGAATAAATCTGATTCTGGATTTCATGTATTAAATAGAAAAATAATGAAATATAATAATTTCATATTAACTCAATAAAAATGCGGAAGATTTAAGTGCTTGAGAGTAAAAAAAAAAAAAAAAAAGTATCTGTAGCGGATATCTCAAACGAGAAATAAATATTGCTCAAATTTTTTTCTTCAGAATACTCAGCACCCTATATTTTATCAATAACTGATTCAGATACAAGAATATAAACAACTAAATCATAAAATTGCATCAGATACTTGAAAAAACTAATAATTCATCTACAGGAAATAAATTTAACCATTTTAATTGAACACTTTCATTTTCAATAGCTTTCTAAGAATGAATATGTTAAAAATGCACTCTTTTGCTTGACCTTTATTTCACACTTATGTCTTCAAATGCAATATAAAACAAGGGAGAAAAAAAAAACATTAAATTTTATAAAATAAGTAGTGAGAGATCCTTTTGTGTTTGAGTGGCACCCTATCACAATGAGCAGACTTAATGTTTTAGTATTTGAAACGCGTCACAATGGTCGAGGTGCATGTAGACCAAATACTTTACGATCTATTGGGGGTACGTGATTTGTTCCTGGTGGGCCCCAATCATGAAGTCCTCCACTATAGGACACACGGTGAGTAAGACGGTGAGCTATGGAGAAACCTCCACTGCCTTCTAGTTGAGTGAGAACTATAATCACCTGTCTATAATATAAAATATTATTAAAAAAATTGGAAGATATACTTAATATTAAATCAGTATTAAAACATTTTTAAAATTGTAAATGAATAAAATCATTATTAAAACAAATTATAATTATTATTATAAATATTTCTAATTATGAATGCTTAAAAAATTTTGGGTAAATGTTTCACATGCGTTTGAACAGTTTATGATGTAGGATTTAAATATTACATTGAATTAAGTTGTTATGACATTATAAATAGTATGGCAAGCATTAAAACAGCGGATGAAGAAGCATATCATTTGATTCATATTGAAGGTTCATTTAAAAAATTATATTTCTGAACAAAATCCTGGCACATAGGTCATTATATCAAAATAACAAAATTTCAGATACTTAACAAGTTTAGGTAATATACCTTCTATAAATTATTTTTATTTATTACATATTACCGTCGTCGAACAGCCGACTAACTTTAAGATTTACGACTACCGATGTTCGACTCCAAAGCCTTGTAATTTTGAACCCAAACCAGAAGAGAAGGCCACGCCTAAATCAAATATTGAGTGAAATTTACTTACATGGAGGACTCTTTTATGAAAGTAACCTGCATGTGCGATACATGGAGAGGAAAACCTTCCATGGTTTACCTGACGGCAAGACGAATCTAACTCGTGATTCGCCTGTCACTGAGGATATTTTACTTCAGCACTGCGGCCGGGTTCAAAATAATATGGCCTAATTGAAAGGTAGGCACTCTTAAAAGATTAAAAAATTATGTGGAAAAGGTCTGGAGACATTAGAAAAGGATGCAAATTATAAGTTTGCGAAAGTGTTTCATTCCATACAGATATGTGTCTTCAAGTTATATTCTGTAGATATTGTATATTACACACAATTTAAAAACCCTCTTCAATGGCTCAGGATTACATTTACAACTACATATTCCCATGTGATTTGTAGGCCTACTTTCTTCTCTCAATTTGGCCATTATTGTGAAGTACTCAGCGTCAGAATATTATAAGACCTTCACTGAATATCAGTAACAAAAGTTCTTTTTTCCTTTTTGAATTATTTCAACATAAATATAATGAAAGGTACTTAATAAGTACCTAATAATAAGTACTTAAGACAAGAACATGAAAAAATTAGGGAATCATTTTGATTCTAGCAATGTTTTGTAATAACATGAACCACGAATTTCCACACAAACAACGTGTATTTAAAATTAACATTATTTTAATATACGTTCATATAATTAATTCATAATTATATTAACATATTTCTATTTCCTATTAGGATTTGTCTTAGTTTGTGATCAGGCTTGAACAAAGTTTTAATTTTAAAAATATATTAAAAAGCACAAAAGAGATGATTACAAAATAAATTTATGAAAACAAAATTCGATAGAGAAATCAAGATAATTATTTGCTTTTATAAGTGTAAAGTATTTTATAAGTATTGTTATATTATAGGAAAACCTTTCATATGGGAAATATTTAATTCAGGTCAGAAGATACCCAAAAGCATTGGATTCAAATTAATGTATATCCTGTTTTTGTCCTTCCATACTAAAAAAAAATTAAACATTATTTTTTCTTCAAATAATTTAATTTTAATCACAACAAATCTAAACTCAATCTATTTTAAAAATAAAGAATACTCAAAAATGCCTTAGAAAAATCTAAAATTTTTTAATTTAAAAATTAGTAAAATAAAAAGCAAAGCAAACTTAGTAAAACAAAACTATACAATTTAAATACAGTAGAACCTCACTTATCCAAACAAATTGAGATCATTGCCCACTCAGAATCTAAAATTTTCACTATAACTGATATTTCAGATAGCAAATAATTTTTGTTGACATAACAAAAGGTAAATTTGCATCTTCAAATCATGTTACATTGTAATGCATTGGAATATTGGGGACCATATATTTTTCTTTAAAAAATTCATAGAGATAAAATATAGTTTTTTTTTAACCCTATATTGTTTAAAAGTTTGAAACAAATAGTGTTATTAGTTTACCATCTTCTATCATCATATCGTCAGTCTTGATATTACAAATACAAATAGGAGTTAAAGTTTTTATAAAGCTTTATCTAAATTTCTATTTACTTGAATTATAAATCTCACATTTGAATGATAACATTTTCAATTTTATACTAATAAGAAAGGCAATCAAAGTATATCACGCTTTAAATGTTATGAATTATATGCTAGAGCAACTCTAGTACTTGAGAAGATTCTGTAATTTTTTAAAAAGAAAATTATATTAAAAACTCCTAAAAATACAAAAATTAGTTTAGCAAGTTATTCAACAAAAAATTTGTACACCATATACAGTCGTCCCCACTTAATTGCACATCAGATAATTAAATAACCCGCTTATATGAATAAAATTTAATAAAACCAAATCATTTTATATAAAACTAATGTTGAATTTCCTCATTTTAATGGATATTTATTATTACCGATCCTCATCTAATTGCATAAAGAAAAGGTACTGAAATGAAAAAAAACCTGCATATTTTTAAGGAATGGTTCACCAGCTAGCATGAAATTTTCAGTTAAGAATATACAATAGGTGATCATTTCAATAGGGACTTCCTGCTCATTTGCTGCTCTGAACAGATGTTAGGAGGGGTATTGTTCTTGCTGGCAGTTATACATTGGAGTGAATGAAGGGTGTTTTACCCCTCTTTGACTCATTATTTAGAACAGTGGTTACCAACTGGCGGCCCGCGAACTAAAATATATTAGTTGTAATTTTTTGCGGACAATTTTCGTAAAAATCTATAAAGTACTTTTCTTCTCTAAAAAAAATCTAATTTCTTCGTTTCTGATATATTTAACATACTAACGGTGCCAAATAATTTATTTTTCAGGTAAAAATCGACTTCTTATTTTATTTTGTAATTCAATACTTTTGTTTTGTACAGCTTGATAAAAATCTAAGAGTAATATTTAATGTTCCTTCAAACATAAAAGAGTCCTATATAAAATTTTGATAAATTTGTAGCCTGCCAATTGACATTTTAATAGAGGCCCCCCACCTCATGTAAGTTGGAAACCCCCGATTTAGAATGTTAAAAGGTACAGAGTGATTTTTTTCACATTAAAGACTTGACTTCCCCTCTTGTTGTGCTATAAGTTTTGATAAGAAAAATTTTCAAAAGCCTAACACACTAGCCTAGAGTGTGTTTTTCTCTGAAGTAGAATAATCCTTGCTTATTTCACTGAATGAAAGATGAGTGTGAAAAGGAATGATTTGAAATAATCGAAGAAACAAAAATAGAAGCTTTGGAAGGAATTAATTTCAAAAATATCAACCCAACTGAAATATCAAATTAATTTTGAATTTCTCAAATTTCAAAAATTTAAAGTATTTGAAAGGAATACCCAAGTCATGAAAGTTTTAGTAAAAAAATATAGGGAAAATTGAATTTCGATAAAGTGGCAAATTAAAACGCGCATAAAAACAAGTCTTCAAATATAGATTTTTTTTCAAAGGAACAAGATAATATTATAGTACCTGTATTTTTTTTTTCATTACCATAGATTTATTTTTATATAATTTTAAATGATATTTATATTTTATAATACTAACACAGACAACTTAAATTATAATTGCTTATTGATCATAAAATTGAGTAGATGAGACGCATTAGAAAGCATTAAAAAGAAAACTTAAAATTGAATAGTAACCAATGGGATGAGAACCCTACCTGTGAAGGGGAGGTATACTATCAACAGTACGCAGTGTGGCGCGAGTGGACACAACATTCATACTTTCAGAGCAGTCGCATATGACTTGAATGCATCTATCAGGAAGTCTATTCTCCAATACGACAACAAGACCTGCCCAACCTTTGGTCAGGTAATATGCAGTCATACCCTCTCGACCCTGAAATAGAATTGATGTTTTACATAAACAACTGAATACAATACTGTCTTGAAACCAATTAGCAAAACAATTTTATTATGGTTCCAATGGTTTGAGTTTAGTTTCGTTATTACGAATTAAATGACATTCCATCAACAGTTAGCACCTTCTAATAACTCATTTTAATACAGTTGCCCCAGTACAAAAAAAAACTACTGATTTAAAAGCTTTATATCAAGTGCTAACTTTTTCATGATTATTTAAAATTGAATATTACAAATTTTTCATTTTTATTTTAAACATGACCCGATTGAACCTTAAAAAATATTTATTGACAATAAAATCTCAGTTTATTTATTATACTGTTTTATAAAATCTATACCACTCAAACTTGTATGAAGCAAGTTAGACTATAAAATAAGTGATTTTTAAGTTTATCATAAAAAATAATAATTCGAAAAGTCTTATAAAGTCAATAATTTATAATTATAGAAATAAGTACATATTACGAATATTTCAACACAATTTCAACGGAATGAAAATTTATTGGATTTTTTTTCCTTTTTCTCTCTTTTACAAATGCTCCATTTCCCAACACCATAGAGAGTCATATAAGTAATCAGGAAAATAATATCTTTTTTAAAATTATTTCATTTGTAAAACTTTTCCACAATGAATGTCATTGTCACTGGTTTTATCAAATACCTGAAATTACTTTAAGCTAACGGCATGTTTGAGGAAAAGCTTCTTTGGTGCATTTGATCAAGATTTCTAAACATGAATTAGTAAAAATTTTGCTTTCATGTGGTCATGATTTTATGGAAGATAGTTTGACGGACATTTTTTCCCCTTCTTATTCAGGATTCCTCAGAGAAAGATTTAATTTTAATCTTATTCAATTGTGCAGCCAAGTATTTAAACTTTCAACAAGTATTTAAACTTTTAAAATCTCTGTAAAATAAGATACAAAATTATAGTCTTTGAGCATTTTCAAACAGGAATAAAGTTTAAAGAGCATTTTTCTTCTTTGGTGGCATGATAGTCCTCAGAAGTCTTTTTTCAGGCATCTTTCTCTTTGACGACTACCCTCCAATTTTTGGCTTTTAGATAAAATGGTTCAGACCAAAATTTCAGTTTGTAAAACCTTAAAAACCATCTTATTCAGAAGCTTATTGTAATGCCAAAATTGTGAATAGTTCAAATAAATGTTGAAGATTTATGATTTTCGTCATTTAGACGCTAGTGAATAAAAATATTTATTCTATCATACAGCGCAAAAGCAACACACAGACTTTAAAGCTTATTTATTCAAAGTCATCAAAATATTACTAAGAACATTCTTTTCAATCATTATTAAACATTGTCATAAAATTTTTCGAGAAAAAGAAGTAAAATAATGTACAAAATTACCTCATGACGTTGTCCTTTGGCAACTGTTAATAAAATAATTGCATCTGCCAGAATGTGTGGCATTGGAAGAACTTTTTCTACGAGGATGCGTTTGGAACTGTGGATGGCAAGGAGAAATCTAGGGTATTGCTCATAGGTATTCAAACCTAAAACAAATATTTTGCAAAGTGTAAAAAATAAATATTAAGATTTTATTATTGAAATTAGTTTGGATTTCTCATCTTAGATCCCGCAGTGAACTGATCGTAGAGATACGTTTCCCAGTAGAACACTGAAGTTCATGAGCACTGGTTGCGGTCAGTAAGCGGGAGGGTGACCACTTAGATCTGATCAGTCCAGATTGGGACCGATGGTGCTTGTTAAACTGTTCAACTGTAAACTACTAGACTTTGCGTGCCGGTCATCAAGCTACTGAAGTCGAGGCCCTCTTCAGAGGATCAAAATTGCGATGGCATTTCTTTAGATCATCCTCAGAAATGTTTCCCAGATCTCTGCCAATAGACCATTGTGCAGGTCTAGTGCAAAGTAAGTAAAGTAAATACCTACCTCTTTTTAGCCAATTAATGTAAAAGGAAATATTTTGTTTGATAAATAAAATGGTACATTACATTATAAAAAAGGTTAAAAATAAAATAATTTGAGGTAAATAAGTCAAAATAAGTAAGAAAATATCTAATGCTAATGTCTCAATGCGTACGGGAAAAAAATAGTACTAAATCAGAGAAACCAATTTCAAAAAATTAAACCTAATTGATAAACAACTCTAAATTCTGAATAAATGTCTTTTCTCATATAATTCACACAAAATACAACAATCTGTTTCTAAAGACATGCGGTGTACAATAAGAAACATGTGTAAATTTGGATATTTTTCTAATGAGAGGCTTGTAGAAAGCATTACTTAATCAAAGTGATCTGATACTCTAAATGAAGAATAAAAAATTTGGCTGAAACATTTTAAAAATGATTGAACATACCTGATAAACTACAACCCTGTTTATTTTTAAATAGCTTTATAATCAAGTATTAGCTAGTAATAAAATCTTTCTTTTTTCTTTGTTTGAAAAAAAGTATAATCAAAAATTACACTTCATACAATTTTTTAAAGAAGAATTTAATTTATGTCACATCATTTTAAACATTCCAGCAATCATTTTTATTTTCGTTCAAAAAAAATATTATTTGAATTATTTGTTAGACATAATAACACTAGAAAACAATTTATTCATTAAAAACGCAAAATAATATTTTTTATATTTCACACTTGCATTCTTTTTTTATCAGTATAAGAAAAATTATGTACTTTTTTTTTTTAAAGTCAGCAGTAGCATATCAAAGGATATTTTATAATGAATAAGAAATTGAAATTTAAAATCAAATAAATATATGAAAATTAAGAAAACAGAGAAGTTTTTAAAGTTGAAATAACTCTGTTGCATAAGAAAAATGCAACGCAAAATGCAAATGGTGACTAAATTTAAAATTTTTTAAATCACCAATCATAATTTGTATCATTAAATTAAAACACTAAAAATTCATTCTTATACATTAAATACATATATTTTTTAAAATGCAAGTAATACATACTTGTATGCCAGTGATTGAAGGCAAGGCAAACAACAATATACATTCCAGGTTCAAGCATAGCATGGCATCCAACGAAGCCTCTGACCTGCCTTTTACTGTGCTTGATTAAAGCCCCAACATGACCTCGTGAAGGATCACAGCTACGAAACACAACAACACAAAGGTCCAGCTGAGATCTTTGAGACCTTTCAGCATTCCTGAAGAGAAGATAATAACAGTTGAGAAAGATCAGTGTATTAAAAGGACACCTTGGGAATACTGAAAAATATTGGTTGAAAAAATTTATATGTCTGTGTAAAGTTTAGTGTAATTTATTGGGTTGCAATCTAGGCTGATCTGGAATCAGAATAATTAGACCATTGGAACTGTTAGTAAGGTAACTTTCTTTCTCTTTTTCCCGGGCTTAAAACTGTAGTGCACATTCAGTACATTACACTGTCTTTTTCCAATCATTTAATAGTCTCAACTTTTAGATATAATTGAAACACTTCTTCGGCATATTTGATTACACCTCCTGAACCTACAAAACTTACTACACTATTAACATTTTCAAAAGCAAATTTCTTTTTCATCCAATTTTTAAAAATAAAAAATTAATTAGTTCTTTCTTCTTCTGTAGCTCTACAGACAGCTGCAGGCCAAGACTGTCTCCAACAGTTTTTTCCATTGGCAATCATCCCACTCGAGAAAATTGTTCATTTACTTCCCACTCTCATAAAGACTTACTAACAACAAATGAGAGTGTCCCGTTTTTTCTTTAAAGAACAACAGGGAAAAAAGAAAACTTTTCTATTCCCTTCAAAGAAATTTAAGATAAAAACTGATTTTCCTGAAAAAATGCTTTTGGATAAGGCAAAGAAAAAACAACAACTGTTTGACAGTTGATGTGTCTCCATAATGAAAAGTTTCATTCCTAATCTGGAGAGCCAAGGTGTTTCCACTCTGACCTGTTCAGCTTGGACAACCCTGCCAGCAGCTAAGCTGTCACTGTTTTTAAGATCTGGCAATACACAAAAACCACAGTGACGACATGCTAAGGATAGGACTGCGATTCATAGCCTCAACTACGATTTCAAAATAATTAGTGTATTGATCTGGCAAGATTTGGGGACACACAGAATTAAGAAATGTTCTGTTCTTGAAGGCAAAGGTCCAGAGCCTTTAAGCAATCTAGTATTGATCTAAAAAATGTAAGTAAGTAGGCTAAAACAAATCCTCATGTTGGAAAATAGATCTTAAACATAATCAATATGCAGCCATTTTAAACACAGGAAATTTTTAAGCAATATGATATGTTAAAAACTTTCAGAAAATAAATTAAGCACTTAGTAATCAAAAATTCAAATAAGACACACAAGCAAAAAGCAATTTATTTAAACAAAAATGAGTGAATGGTATTGTATGAAAGCAGTTATTTTAAATCATTTACCTTTGCCCCTCTTGGAAGAGGCTGAATTCCACTTCAGTAGCATCTAAAACAGTAAGTGCAGTGACTGCTAAGCATTCTTTGTCTGTGTGAGGGGGAAGAACTCCTTGCAAACGCACTTCATTCCAATCTGATTTCACTTTGCAAATATCAATGCAATCAAAATACCTATAAAAGTTACAAAATAAAATAATCAGTCATTGATTGCATATGTTTTCAGTCTTAAGACAGTTAACATTACTCATTGATTGATTACTGAGCTAAAATATAAAGTTAAAAAGATGACAATGATTGCTGCACAAAAAATTTCAATAAAGGAAACTTTTTTTCTCTGGAACTATAATGCTTCATTACAAAATTGAAATAAGAACAGAAAGATATATAGATGACTGATTGAAAACAAATATATAAAAATTCATAACATTTATAGCAATAAACAGGTTAAAAATTACACTGTTGAAGTGTTTTATTCTTAACAGCAATTTGGGAAGCTTGTCTACATTCTATAATTCAAACTAAAATTTTTAGAGATTACAGAATCAGCAAATGAAAATTTAATTACTGCTGTTGTCACAATGTGTTGAATCTTCACAAAGCATCCCAATCATTCAGAAAACATCTCTCACAGACTTAAATCACTCAAGAAAACGCATTCTTTACTGACTGTTTTCAAATTGTACATTTTCATTGACATTCCAGGTGTCATCACTTTGCATTATTTGAAGCAACCTTTATGTACAGTGGATGTTCCATTTTGCGATTTCCTTACACTGACTATGTTTAATGGGTACACTACCACTTAACTGTTATGATTTGGACAATATGGGCCATCGTGTCTTTCACTATGCCAGCACGAGACTTTAAATTGCGTAGTCATATCGGATCGAACTTTGAAAGCACACTTTGTCAAAACTGCTTGTTACACTAATATAAATCGCCCTTTTAATAAACAGTTTTTGAAAATCACTAGTATTGTGTATACATGCTGTTTTAACAAATCAGTATACAACAGGCTTTGCACATATATAATGTTTCAAGCTAAAAAATATAAGATGAAAATATACTTCAAAACATCTTGAAAAGACATCCAGAAAACTCCTTCATCAGCACCATGAGGTATCAGCTGTTCTCTTAATTCAGGAGTCCATAATGGCGATCCATCAGACCAATCTCCTCTCCAAGAATAATGACCCCACGGATTTCTCAATCTAACAAGCCTAAAATATCCACATCAATTGTTTATACTTGTATTTCTTTACATACGTAATCAGGGTGGCCACTCAAATCCGATTTCAAATTTCCGTGANTTCCAGGTGGGTGGCCACCCTGGTAATATATAGTTATAAATTATGCAACTGTTTTGTTAGGTTACAAATGAAAAATTGCGACTATGTTTTTTTTATGTTGCATGTTTTTTTTTTAGAAAAAAAATTTTTATTGCAAAAAATATATATATATATAAAAAAAAATTTTTATATCGAGTTACAATATTGTGAAAGAATTTCATTAAAAAAAGGTTAATAAATCAGTTAAATATTACAGGACAGAATTTCACATGCACTAAATATGGTAGAACAAAATACTTTTAATACATAAAATTGAATTCACTACAGCAATTATATTAAATACTTTGTCTCAGGAAAAAATTGAAGACTATCCAAAAATTTATCTTAGTATACAGTAGCTGCCATACTATTATTATTAGATATTCTTTTCATCACAATCCAGTTTTAACCTTTGAGGAATTAAAACTATATTTAAATGCAAAGCACATAAGACAATCTTTAGTTATGAATAATAAACTGAATACCGGACATTGAAATAAATAAATAAATAAAAATCAATTACAAATAACAAACAAGTTTTTAAAAAACTAAAACTTAATGAAAAATACCCAAAACAGAAGAGAATTAAATTGGGTATATCACCAGATATAACTCTTTTGATACCATTAAACCAGATATAACTATGGAAATAATAGTACCTTAATTCTTGGATGCTTTGAACATCCAATACAGAATAAGCATGTCTTGGTCTAAGGCCAACAGCGTGGTAATCTTGATCATTAACTTGCATATTACCACCACCACAGGAAGCACCCATTAGAAACCTTAAATTAAAGGATAGAACTGTAATATTACAATTTTTAAAACCAGTAAGTTAGAATTTTTTTTAAAAAAATCTCATTAATATACACTACAAAATTGATATGTAGAAGTTATTGTTCATGTTATAAGAGTTTTTACCTTTATATGTAAAAATAATAACTTCAAGATTGTAGAAAAATCTACACTCACTCTTATTGAAAATGCTTTTCATTTGATAGCCTGATAATGAATCAGGTAGGATAATTTTTTATTCTCCTGTTTTTTTTGTAGATTGGCCATTTTACTCCCAATTTAATACAACCTTATTTTTTTAAAGTTATTTTTTCATTTTGTCATTCCACCCATTTTATGTTACAAAATCAATGTCCATTCTCTTAGTAATTTTTTCTCTCATATTTTCAATTAATCAATTTCTAAACTTTTTACATGATGAAAGTTTTTCTGAAAATCAAAAAGAGAGTGATCACAAAATCAAAACCACTTAGAATCTTTCCAAAAGATAATGAGTATTTTGCCAGAATGAGTTTTATTTTGGAGTTCTGTAAACTTGATTCCTCATAAATTTGAAAGGTAAATTAGCAGCCAGATAATTTTTTTTAAATCGGGAAACAGTAAAAATACAAATTTTTTAAAAGTGTTAGTTTAGTGGGGGATCAATTGGTGACAAGAGTATAGTTTAAACAGAAAAAAAAAAACATTTTAAACTGTAATTATCATATTTCTTTGACTAGATGCTAAAAGTATAAAGATTATATGATAACTGAATTACATTAATTGCATTAAAAAATAACGAAAACAAAAAGATCATAATCAACAGATAGATAAATCAGCAGGAAAAAAAAGAGATAACAAGTAATAATAATTTTAAAAAATTTCAGCATAAAACAAGTATTTTTTTTACAATTGCTTTAAATTGAATACTAAATCTTGAATTGAATACTATACTTCTACTGACAACATAATTCTTCTGGTTTAGAATAGAAATTTGTTGCTAAAAATGTATGAGATATGCAATAGTTTCAAAGTGTCAGTACGCAATTAAAAATTATGTAAAATTTGAAAACTAATGAAAAAAAAATTTTAAAAATAAATTAGGGAAGAAAATTAATATCCTAAAGCTATTTCACAAAGAAAACAATATTTAACAATATATAGAAAAATGTAAATCATAAATAAACTTTCAACAACAATAAATTTAAAAAAAAGAAGAAAGATAGGGGGGAAATGCCAACAAAAGAAAAAAAAAATATTTACCCAGCATCTCGGCAGCTAAGCAATTGCACCCATATTAAATCATGGTCAATACCTTCCTCATTTGGAATAGATGAAGCTACAATGATATAATACAAATTAGATATAAATAAATGAAAGTAACTTAATTTTAGATGAATAAATTTAACCAAACCTTATGTGAAAAATTAAAATAAATTTATTCAAATCATAAGCAAAGTTCTACTATTTTGTCAGCTAAATATATTGCTCTATTTCAGGTTATGCCAATAATGACTATTGCCATCTGGAACACCAAAATTATCTGAACAGTATGTTAATCTTTTATAGCCGTATGGTATGTACTTGTAGGTCGAATTTAGTCTCGCTTTTTATTATAAGGCCTGAGAGGCCCCCTAAATGCTACAAATAATTTCTTTTTTGTATTTTCTTTACGAATTGTATGAGTTAACAAAGACTGAACTAGATATAAGCTCAAATTTTTTAATACATCGTAATTTACTTACATTATAAATAATTTAAAAACATTTCAAATTTTGTTCAAAATAACGACCAAGGGATCCTTTGTCAGTTCTGTGCCTATGGCCCCCTCATTTCTAGATTAGGCCCTGCTTGCTTGTTTAGGACAGGTTTTAAGACAAGAAATTTAGATCATCTTGTTTTTTGCTTTTTTTGCGCATCCAGTTCCATGAGTTTGCTTATCAATCAGATCTTTTGAAAAAATATGGCCCATTTAATTTTTAATGTTATTAATTGAGAGATTTTAGGTAGAAGCTGATTTTTTTGATTTAGCATAAGTTTGATAAGTAGTCTTTTACAATTTTCCACATCATAACTGTGGTTTGTAATTCTTAACACAGATTGAAATTCTGCATGTAACTCATTTTGAGTGATTTATTTAAACAAAAAATTATGAAACAGATTTATTCTCAAATTCTGAAAATCTCTGCATGCCTAAACTGTTTTGGCATTGTAAATAAAATTTTAAAGTAACCCTGAAGATTCAGAATGATAACTGAAAATGTTCAAAGTTTGTAACTTGGCATTATTTGTCAATTTTTTTTCTGTTTAATTTTTTAGCCTATTATTTTATTTATTTCAAAACTTTTTATAGCCCTTACAGTTAAAAAATTGGGAAAAATATGTGTTATTTTGAAATTTATCAAAGAATTCAAAGTGTGCCTAAACTTTTATGATACAGTATATAATTATTTAACATTATATCATGTTTTATTATGTAAGTTCATTCAAAGCATTAGTGCAAGCCAGGCCCATAGCCAGAGGGACCGTCTAGACAAATCCCCCCCCCCCGAAATTCTGGGATTCAAACTTTTTAGTCTTTCTTAGAGCCTCTCAGTAAAAAAAATAAATAAATAAATAAAATAAACAAATAAATAAAAAATATAAAAAAAACTGTTAATCAAATTTTTAGAAAACAAAATTTTTCGGTCCCATACTATAGCAGAATACCACAAGATGAGCACCGCTAAGGCGGAGAATTTTGTAAACATTTTCGAAGGAAAAACTGAAAGTATTGAACTGCAAATAAATTCATGTGCCAAAAATAAAGCAGAAGAAAATAGAGAGAGACTTGTCCCAATTGTCGAAACCCCAATATTTTGTGGGAGGCAAGAATTGGCTTTAAGAGGCGCTAAAGACAGTGGACCCTTAAACTTAGATAATGATGAGCCCATAAATAATTATGGAAATTTCCGGGCATTACTGAGAACACCAATTTTTGACTCATCTGGATGCGGAATAGCTGGTGTAATTTTAAAATCATTAAGAAATTTAGGAATTAATGTTTCAAAAATTGTCAGACAAGGCTACGGACGGAGCATCTGCAATGCGAGGGGACTTTAACGGTGTTCAAGCAGCCATCAAAGAATTACACCCAACAGCTATATATGTACATTGCTCCTCACACTCTTTGAATTCAGCAATTAGTCACTCTTGTAGTATTCAAGCTATTAGAAACTGCGTTGGCACAGTTAAAACAATAACAAAATTCATCAAATCGTCTGCCAAAAGAACAAAAATTTCAGAAGACATCATCAAAACGAATTTGCCGAATGAAAAATTCAAAAAAATAATATCTTTTTGGGAAACAAGATGGATAGAAAACCATGATGCAATCATTAGATTTAAAGAACTTTATCCAGAAATAATTCAACTTCTCAAAGAAGTAAAGGCTTCGGGAAGCTGCAATACTTCCTCTAAAGCGGACAATCTTATTTCTACTATCACTAAAAGTGAGTTTTACATTACTTTACTTGTTTGTAGAGATATTTTTTCTGTGACTCTCCCACTGACACTCCAACAAATTCATCTAGATTTGAATGGAGATTTGATACATGTAAAATCAATGAATGTAAAATCAATGAACAACACAGTTCTAAACAAAAGAAAAAATGCCAAGTATGAATTTCAAAAGCTATATTCGGAACTCCTTAATACTTTCACAAGTTTGGATCTAGATGTAAAACTTCCTAGATTGGCATCCTATCAAAATCACCGTGGCAATATAAAAAATCAGAACACAGACCCAGAGCAGTACTTCCGTCAAAATATATACATTCCTTTTTTCGATTATTTCACTGCCCAACTGATTGAAAGATTTTCGAAGCACGAAGATACTCTTGCATCTCTCAATAAAGTGTTACCTAAGTATTGTGTGAACGTTGATATTAATTTATGCAATTTCCGAATCCACGCAGATTTCATTGACATCGAAAACCTCATGGGAGAAATGGAAGTATGGGCATCAAAGTGGAACCTGCGTGAACCCCTTAGTAGACCAGATACGGCACTTTCAGCAATGGAAGAATGTGACAGTATCTTTTCCCCAAACATTTATTGCTTGTTATCAATATTGGCTATGTTGCCAATCACCACAGCAACTGCGAAAGAACTTTTTCCTCTATTAAACGTGTAAAAACAGCAACAAGAAATGCTACTAAATAAGAAAGGCTAACAGGGCTAACTTTATTAAGCATATTTCGGGATATTCCGGTTTGTCCTAAAAAAGTAATCGAAAAATTTTCTTCAAATCCCCGTCGCATGTCTTTGTAAACTTTGTTNAACTGAAAATGTTCAAAGTTTGTAACTTGGCATTATTTGTTAATTTTTTTCTGTTTTAATTTTGCAGCCTATTATTTTTTTTTTATTTCAAATCTTTTTATAGCCCTTACAGTTAAAAAATTGGGAAAAATATGCGTTATTTTTAAATTTATCAAAGAATTCAAAGTGTGCTTAAACTTTTATGATACAGTATATAATTATTTAACATTATATCATGTTTTAATATGTAGGGTCATTCAAAGCATTAGTGCAAGTGATCACAAGAAACAAATAATTTAAAACCATATACTATGATCCCTTTATAGAATATTAATTTAGTTTTAATGATACAAAAAATAGTATATCAAGCAAGATTTTAGTTACTATTTATTAAAAAAATTACTAATAAAATACTAATAGAAATTATATTTAAATTATTATTTACTGCAAATAAACTATAAGTATACCATAAATATAATCAAAAAATTAAAAGCATTGGTGTTTGGAAGTTTTGGACAATTTTAAAAAGTGTGGAAATTTGTTTTAATAAATATAACAAAATATGATAAAAGAAAATTTTTTTTAAACAAAATTTCTAAAGATAAATTTTAACAAAAATTCTAAAGAGGTCTAAAAAACTGATTTTATACTAACGTTGTAAAGGTATACTTTCACAAGGAGCACCAGTCAATGTTGATAAACCCTCAATAGCTCTTCCCGATACAAGAGCTTCGTAGCAACCATGAAGTTTAGCAACAGCTTTTTCAATCAAAGGCACCCAAAGTTGTTTCCTTTTAGCCTAATGAAGATCAAAAGAAAGGACATTCTAATATTTTTCCATCCTCATCCTATGCAATTTTGAAGTTACATAATTTTTAAAAAAATACAATTAAATTTTTTAAATGAAATAGATTTACAGTAATAAACTAATTAATATAGTAATTTTGATTTATTTATTTTGAAAAATATTATATTAAGGCATAGTAGAAGATATAATAAATGCAATCCATCTTTTTCATACGTTAAGAAATATAACAAATGACATGAGTTATTGCATCTAAACATTTCAGACAAACAGAATAGTATAGTCTGTTTATGGAAAGAAGTCCTCTCGCCATTTGGCAGGAGCAGTGGCGGTGACCGTGGTTACGAGGTTTAACTAATTCAATATTTATGACAGGTTTTGATTTGAGTCACAAGAGAAAGAGAATCAGGGAGGAAAAGCTCCCCTCTTAGAAATGTGCTATTTCTTGTTTCCATAGCAGCAAATTGCTTTAGACTTTGGGACAAGGGGAGTTCTTTTTTATGGATACACTGAAAATAGCCATTACTACCCTAGTCATAAATAATATTATGTATACAACATTTATGTTCAGATACACAAACTACTATAGTGTGCTTGTAAACTCTTTGCATCATCATAATTTAAAATAAAGCAACATTTTCATTTATTCAATGAAATTCAACATTCACTCAATTCCGCATGAGAAATACTGTGTACATTTTGCAATAAAATAATAAAAATTTAGTGACACAAAAATTAATTTATAAGATATCACAAATATACAAAATTGTAGATTCATTCCAATTAATTAACGTTAAATTGATTTGCATTACCCCTTAGAAAAAAATTTCATTATATATAGATTTTTTTTTTTTTTTTTTTTTTTTAAACTTATGTAAGAACAAAGAAGTGGGTAGAACTTAGCTTCCTCTTGCTAACAAAGGTAACAGGGTTGAAAATTACCAAAATAAATAGATTAAAAGATATGTATAAAACATGCTCAGATAATATTATTAAAGTAATTATAAATTGTCCTTTAGCAAGAAAGCTACTGTTTTCCAGAATAATTTTATGTGATAATAGAGTCCTTAATAGGAGCCCAATTATAACGACCCAAACATAAAGCCATGTAATGTTATTTTAAATGTCCTTAAGAATACAGGCACTGAACCATGTATAAGGACTGAAATTTAGTCATTTGATTTAGAAGAAACGTCGAAGAAATTATTTAAACTATTATTTCCCATGATGTTACCCCACAATAAATGTAAAACACTTTCAATTCCCTTTGAATAAATGAAGAGTGACATAACCCTCTAAATTCTTATCCTAAGTTCAAGGTAAACTTTATTTTCAAAGGTAACAATAAATTTTCATGTTTGAAAATTTTAGCTTTTCGTAATATATCAGTCCCCTTGTGCGATTTATTTTCAAATTAAAACATGTGATATTTACCGTTAACTTGACGTATATTATCAAAAATGGCAACCCAGACTAGCATATTATTTTTAATGCATTTTTCCCTTTTGAAGCATAATTGTAAATGGTACTTTTATGTATAACATTAACATAGAAAAAAAGTTGCATTATCATAAACTTTACTGTTAACCAAATTCTTATTGAAGCAAACATTGCTTTATTGAAATTGGTCAAATATTTTTTTACCTATGAGTTGATAATTACGATAGGTTTGTTAACCCCTATTATAATGTGTGTTTTCGCCCGGAATACGCAGGTCGTTGTATCGAGTGTCGACTTTATTTTAACCGAAATGAAACTAAATCAAACAAAATAATAACAATTAGTATTAATTAGCAAACAAAAATTGACTTGCTTTGGAATAAAGGAGTTTTCCTCGAGAATTGCAAGGCAAAAGGTCATCCACTAATACTGTTGTCCAACAACCGTCCTTACACAAGCGGACTTGATAAGCTCCTTGTGGACATATTGTCCTTGTGACCATCACCTGTTCAACAAGCTCTGGTTTTTCTGCTAAAACTGCTAGAGCGCTTAACAGCCAACAGTTTCCTAAAATACCTAAACATTAAAAGTCATACAGATTAATTCTTTGCCAATTGATAATCTAGAAGCCATTTCATGAACATTTGATTTTAATATTCAATAAATAAAACTGTATGAGTTACTTAGTTGATTCTATTTAAAAAATAAATTCACACTTGGATTCGGAACTGAAAATCCCTGTGCCGTTTAAAATAAGAAGCCCAAACTAAAGATCTGAATTAGTTTGCATAGTGGTTAACTTCTCTCATGAAATTTGCTAAGATAAATGCTGTATCTCAATATTACATACCTGAAAAATCAAATCTCATATGAAATAGATTTTAATATGTATATTTCGCTACTATTTTATTTTTCTTCCTTGTGCATGCTACTTTAGAAAATTTAGCGTATGGATAGTATAAAAGAAGAAGAAATAAAAAAATAATAATAAAAAAAAGACCTTGAATAACTTTTGATTTAATATATAATCGGATCTTTACCCTCTAGAACTCAATCTTAACAGTTCAAGGGAGAGATCTCAAATATGCTAATTAATCAGGGCAGACAATATTTTAAGTAACGAAATAAGACATAAAAATGCACTTTCTCTCACTAAAGATACCATTTCCCCCCGGATTCCTGATGCCAGAAATATAGGGGGTAGTCACAATCTGGGACACATGATACCAATAGTTTGGTCAGGAGAACAGTCCAAGGTTTGAACCCCTTAACGTTAATTTTATTTTTTTGAGCATTTCGCCATGTCTAGAGAACACTTAAAAGTGAATTGAAAATTTTTTTGCACCCAATTATACAAAATTCGTTTATCAGCGATAATTCTATGGAAAAAAAACTATTCGTAAATATTATTATTATTTTAATTCTTTTAATAATAGCCGATAAAAAATTTTGAAATGTAAAGTATAAAAGTTTTTTCATCATTTTAAAGAGTTTAATTTTACAATGCAAAATAAAAAATCTGAGCGAAATCTGTCAAATAGTTCCTGATAAATTATATTTTAAACTTTTATACGACAAAAAAACGGATATACGACTTTTTTAACATTTTGATTTCTCAGGAACTATTAGACCGATTTCGTCCAAATTTTGTATTTAAAATTGTCTTCTTTAAAATGATGTAAAAATGTGTATACCTTACAATTCAAAACTATTTCGGTTATTATTATATAAAGTAATAAAAAATAATACATATTTACTAAAAGTTAGATTTTGAATGGAATTATCTTTGGATAAATGAATTTTATAATTGTGTTTCAATTCGCTTAAAAAATTCCCGAGATATGAAGAAATACGCAAAAAGTAAAATTAACATTACATTAAAGAGTCCAAACTTTGGACCTCTCTCCTGTCCATACTATTGGTACCATATTACTCAGACTACCCCTATATTTTGGATCTCCAAATACGTCGAAAAAAAGGTATGTTTATTCACAAAAAGTGCGTTTTTGTGTCTGATTGCTTAACTTAAAATATCGTCTGCACTAATTAATTATCATATTTCAAGTCACCCTATCGAGTCCTAAAACGTGAATCATTAGATCACAATTATTCAGGATGGGACGTTTATATTTTTTGTACTGTTCAAACTAGTTTGCTTACTCTGAGTAGCTTGCTTGTATAAAGTGATGTGAACCTTCTTCTTCACTGGATCTCAATCCAACCAGAAACATTTTCAAGTTTAATTTTCCATTTTAATTCTTTCCCGACAGTCAATATGTTTAATAAAATCGAATTAAAATGAAATTTACAAGTTTGAAATTTCAAATCGTAGTGGTTCAAATCAAAAAAATGATTCCTTGCATATGAATAAAAAAAACATCGACAAAATTGAAAGACACAATCGAATAGTATACAACACAAATATCAGTCTCCTTGATGAGGTAGAAAAAAAAGAATATCATCAAAAGAATCGAAGAAGCAGAAGAAAATTTCCTTGAATTTATAAAAACATATAATCTTTTCTTTTTTCAAATGAAAGCAGAATATTGGGAAGTATTTCTGTCCAAAAGACGAAGGGAAAAAATGCAATTTTTTATTAATCATTCGGGATAAGTAAAAACCTAAAATTTTAAGATTTAGTAGCTTCAAAACTAATTCAAAAATTTAAGTTTAAAAAAAAATTATATTAACTGCTTAATTTCTCCAAAAATAACCTTTTCTAATTTGTTTTTATTTCAATAAACTTTCTATCAGCACAAATTTCACCACATTTTCAAGACATTAAACAAAGCTTTATAGAAAACATCACCAGTATAATTATTCATCTAAATGTTTCTTTTCCTTTCCAAGAAAAGAGAAAGTTGAAAAAGTTAAAATATTTTTAATAAAAAAAAAACTTAAAAATATAGATAAGCTCAAAAATCAATTTAAAAAAAAGTTGATCTCACAAGGGTTAAAATTAATATGCAAGGAATATAATGAAATACCTTGTGAAATATCTGAAGGCATAGGCGTGCGAAAGACTGCCCATTTTATTTGTTCTTCGTATGGATCACATGTTATTTCTGTAGGCCTTAACCACTGGTCAACCGATTCTTCACGAGGTTCTTCTGCATTGTAGTAAAGAGATTTTGGCAGGGGTGGAAAAGAATCATCAATAAATAATTCATGGTTCTGAAACAAAACATACAACATGTTTCAAAGATAAGTTCTGTTTGAATCATCTTGAAGTATGATCTCATAAGTATACAGAGTTGACGCACATTTACAGTAACAAGTAGAGATTTAAATAATCAAAACCTCTGATTAAAAATAACCATAATGCATGATTACCAGTAATTATAATCTAATGATTGCAAGTAATCTCAAATACAATTATAATATTCGATTGCAGAAAGATTATATGTAATAATTCGACGTGATCTTGATTATACATTGTAACCAGGATTGTAAGCAACTGGTTTCTTGTAATCGTGACTAATTATGCTCATGATTAGTTTAATACAAGATTTTGACCAGTAATTATGATTACCAGAAATAGTTTCTTTTATTGCAATTAATTATGATAAGTTTTAATCCTCCTTAATCACGATTACAAATTACCGCTTGCTTGTAATTGATTGCGTTTTTGCACAATTCAGATATCATACTTGCACTCGGGTTCATATCAAAGAGTTTTTCTGAGGAATAAAAATGGGATTAAAAAACGATTGAAGCTTGCTTGTATTGTTATCCAGCGCATAGGTCTAGTTTAAATTTCAGTAGTTTAGTTAATCACGAAGTTACCAAAACTATGATTGTTGATCGATCATTTTGACGATAAAGTTCCTTTGTAGCTGTCAAGTAGCGTCTGAAACTTGTACGATTGACGATAAATTATGTTTGTAGATGTTACAATTGAAACTTGCGTAGTCATTAAGCGCAGGGTCTCAGAAAAGTGATTGAAATTTCGATCGCAAGGTCGATCCTCAAAGACATGAAAACGACTTACGAGTTCTTTCTTTCCTACAGTGATCATTAACGAATAATTTTTGTTTGTCGCGGCCTATACATAGCTCACCAAACAACAAAGTATTTATAAATGCCCTGATCTAGTTTCAATTTTAAATATATATTTTTTAATAATTTCATGCAGCGATAAAAGAAGGATGACATTTAGAAGAAAGAATAATATTTACCTGTTTACAAAAAGTAATGATTTCATGCCACTGCAGTCTAGCAAAATTCTCTTCGACATTCCTCAGATCTTCAGTAAGCTCACTTTCACCCTGACCAGAAGCAGTATTAGGTCGTGCAGAATCGGGTCTTAAAGATATTATGCTCCGCGAAGTTTGACATATATCACACATTGCTTTGTCGGTTGCATTTAAATAAGTACAAGAAGAACACTCCCAACTATCACTCTGATGGTTTGAGTGCCGCCTCAACGTCCTGTTTGAGAGTTGGAATTGTTGAGAGTCATCGTATTTCGATGAACTACAGACTCTGCATTCGGTGAGAGATCGAGGATTACGAAGTGTGCAACTAGGACAAACCCAACTCTCGTTAGGCTTCAGTGTCCTAAATTGTCTACTGCTAGTACTGTTAAGTTTTGAACCACCACACGCGCAGCAGAACCTTTCATTGGAGGAATTTATTAAAGTACACTTTACACACGTCCATTGATCTAACATGGGAACACCGAGGAGCCGACTTAAATGGCGTCCCGAATCGATGCGTGAATACACTTCGTCATTGTAATCACTTTGCTCAACGATTCTGTTCGAATTTCTGGCTGTATCACAGTTTTGGCAGGTTGTTGCCCACACAGGATTGGATGAGAATGAACAACTGTTACATACCCAAGACTCTTCTGCTTCCGACATTCTGGTTAAATCTTCTCCACACAGAACGTCAGTTTTAGGGGAAGACAAGTCAACGTTGTGACCATTCACTAAAGGAGTCTTTTTCGCGGGCACCACTGGACATGATGCACTACTTGGGACTTCCGAAAACGATTTACTTCGTCTGGATAATGAAGGACTTCCGTTTTGGTTATCTGAAGAATTATTCAGTGAATTTTTCAGCTCAGACAGGTAACCTAAACTAAAGGCATTGCGAGGCAAAGTTGTGGGAATGTTTGGTTTTTTAGGAGTTTCGCAAATTTCACACCTGTTTAAGCTAGGAGAATTTTCATAGGTACAACGTTTACAAGCCCAAGGTACTTCGTTTTCTGCGTCTGGGTCAATAAGCATAACATCATCGGCAGAATGCGAATTAACGGGGTTATCTTTATTCACTGAAGATGAGCCATCTGAGTTATGACGACTCAGTTTTGCCTTGTTCCGTTTTTGAGCAGCGCGTTGCCGCTTAGGTGACCGGTTATGAGCATAATCAGTTCTTTTAATAGGCACGGACTGCGAATTTAAGAAATCAGTTAAATCATTGCCGTTAACATAACTAACATTATTATGCTTAGCAGTTTCACAAATAATACACTGGTTGGTGGAAGGTATGTTAAGAAATTGACAGTTTTCGCAAGTCCACTTGCCATCAAGTTTTGGAAGATGTCTCGGAGAAACGTAGTTGCTGGCAACAAAGGGGTCGCAGACGTTATTGTCCAATAGACTATGGAGTTGGCTAAGCTTTGATAATGCTTTATGAGGAGAGATTCCGTAAGCTCCAAAATTGCTCAAGTCTTCGAAAGTATCGCGAGCGCCATTTCTTAAACCACTTTGCTTTCTGGTCAGATTGCAAAGAATACAGTTTTCAGTAGTTGTTGGATTGTAATTATGACAATGATGACAAAACCAACGAAATGCAGGACTGGCTTGTTGTACTGATGTACCGTGACTAGAGGGAATGTCTACTCCCGAATCGGGAGTAGGTGTAGAAGGTAGATCATAATCTAAATTATTAAATAAATCTGGAATTTCGCCTTTTCTGTAAGCACAAACGACACATTCAGAACAAGTTTCGAGATTCAGAAAAGAACAATGAGTACATTTCCACTTCTGAGTCTTTTTTCTTATACACTTTACAAAAGTTTTCTCAAGGAAATTGATTTTATCTTTCTTCCTTTCATCAGTAGAAGAGAGTTTACTGTTACTATCACCACTACCCTCTTCCTTGATGGATTCGGCGAGATTTACAAATAGTTGAGAAAGAGCTATTCCAGGTGCCTGGTTAATATCGAGCAACGGCATACCATGCCAACTAACGCTCCGGTTTTTGACGCGTGCGCCAACATCGCTTTCACTTGCATTAGACAGAGATTTTTTGAGGGCCTTCTCTTTCTTGATTCGCAACTGTGCTTTTGGGGATATTCTGGGGAAGAAAAAAAATTATTTTCAACTACTATAAAGTATAGTATAAACTATTACTGCTCTACAAAGTCATGAGGAGTCATTCAAATATTACAGGTAAGCACACATTTGGGAGATTTTATCACTCCTTCTCCAGTGTCAGAAATTTTTGTTTAAAAATCGTCAATTTCTTCCCAATTTTTATGCACGGTTTTTTTTTTAAAGTAATTTTTCTTGCAAATCCAAATGTTTTTGCAGTCCACAAGATCTTTTTTACACCATCAGTGATATTAGTGCCTAATGCTCTCACTCCCCTCTAAGTTGGATGCTTAAGTAATATTTGAAGACCCCGAATGAATGTGTTATAATAATCTAAGTGAAATGATTGAATTCCCCAAAAATTTGAAATAATGAATCCTGCGGTTAAGACTGTATGTCTGAACCATGCATATAATTAGTGAACGGTCTATAAGATCAAACAATTAAATTTTGAGATTTACAATAGCATTATTAATTAATACAACGAGATCTTCAATCAAAAAATCAAAATCTTTTTAATCCTAAAATCAATTTTGCTTTAAAACTGGTAATTGTGTATACGTAGAAAATGAATGGGATTTTCTGAGCATACACAAAAATCAGGAATAGCAAGACTAAAAGCTAAAAAATCAGGATAAATGAGGACAAAATATTTTAGTATTAGGGAAATTAGATATATCAGGATAACTACGGACCCTCTGCTAATAATATCAAAACGATGCACAAATTTTACGCAAGCGCACTAAAAAATTACTTTAAAAAGAAGAGATAATTGATTTGAAGGTAAATAGATATTTAATTTTTTAGTGTGAAAACTGTCGATTTTTATTCACAAAAGCTAATTTATTACAGAGGTTTAAAAAGATATAGGTGAGAGTGGGTTTTGGCGAAATTAGTTCGGACAAACTCTGAATTGCACTTTACTAGTAAAGGAGAGAATTTATCCTGTGCAGATAAGTTTGTTTTGATATGTTAACTCTCTAAAGTTATCTTGTTTTTAAGCTATCCTTATTAATAGGTCATCACTAAGGCCCGGATTTTGATCACATTTGCATTTTTTTGCATTTTTGGACATTTTTTGTCCTTTAGAGCAGTTTTTGAGATTTATAGGGCATTTTCTTTAAATTTTGGGGCGTATTTTGCATTTTAAAGCATTTTTTAAATTTTTTGTTAATTTTTTCTAATTTTTGCTATTTTTTATAATTTTTTATTATTACACTGGCTTCCAAACAATGAAGAAAATTTCTAGGATATTAACAGGTGAAGCAACATCTTTTCAAATTGAAGAAGAATTGTCAGTAAGTGTGACCGTCCTTTTCAAGTACGCACCAATAACATCAGTAGACGTTGAAAGAAGCTTCTCCTGGTATAAAAATTTGCTTTCAGACAAGAGACGCTCGTTTACATTTCAAAATATTAAAAAAAAATTTAATAATCCACTGTAATTCTGATATTTAGTAATATTATGAGATGGAAGTTGTTATATTCATTTAAGTTTCTATACAAAATGAAAATGTTTTGGAGTCAATATATTTTCCTTTTTTTTGTTATTTTTGGATATAAAACATATTTGTCAAACTTTAATGAACGTAGAACAAGTATTGCATTGCTTTATATTTTTTGAAACGACTCATAATAATTTTAAAGAGTAAAACATTGTTTTAGTTCAATATTTTTACTTCTATTTAAGTCATGTCATAAGGCATTTTTAGCGCAATTTTCGCATTTTAACGGCATTTTTTGCATTTTTAAGGGCATTTTTTGCAGTTTGTAAGGGCATTTTTTGCACTTTTTAAGGGCATTAATTGAGATTTTTTAGGTCATCAAAATCCGGGCTCTAGTCATCACAGTTATAAAAATTATTTTAGTCCAGTTTATTATACGTTTACTAAAGATCCATACCCTAGTAAACGATAAGGAGTTCGACCAATAAGTAGCATTATTCTATTTCGTTTTGACAACCTTTGCTCCCGGAGTAATACTGATTCCCCCCCCTCCCTGATGTGCGTCTATGCTGGACCCACGAAAGCTAAAGTGCAGCGGAGGAAGAAGATAATTACATCCAAGGCAACATATATTTTACGAGCCCCAGCACAAAGTTTATTGCGGGGTCCATCCACAAAGAGCAAAAAGCGTTACTTTCATATTTTTTCGAGAGTTTTTGAAGACCCTTTATACAAAATTGTAGTTTTCATGGAGATAAAAAAGAAATTTTCTGCCATTTTCTTCTTAAAAAATCATTAATAAACACTATATTTTTTGTAAAGAATATTAGTTTGGCCCTCCTCCCTGAGAAAGGCCTTGACTAAATTATATGCATCATTTTCTTAAATTGTGATATAAAATAAAAATCTTGGCTCTTTTTTACTGAAATTCTAGTATTTCTAAATTTCCCATAAGGTTGACACCCGGGAGGTTCGGCTTTTCCTAAAAAAAAAATCATTTATAAGAAAAAGTAGTACATCAATGACTTTTCAAGAATGATATACTGTATACAACTAAACAATAGTTAAATCAGACAGTTTCTAGTTTAGCTCGAACAAGCTCCCTAATCTTAGCTACTCGGTTTTACTGCACCAGACTAAATGCTTCGATAGAAATCCCTAGATTCAGTAACAATCGTGTGACTAAATCCAAAACTAGAGATGGCATCCATGTGCTTAAATATAATTTTTTTTTAAAACATGTAATAAAATTATTCATTAAAATAAAGACAAAAAATTATTTTTACGAAGGAAAAAAAAAATTAAAATATTCTTTATGCAAGAAAATGGCAGATGAACGAAACACTTTCAAACAATGGTTTGTAAATCCAAAACTATATGATGAAAGAACACTATTTTGTTTTAGGTACCATAACCATTTACAAATCCGAAGAAAAATTCTAAGGTCTATATTGTGTAGGTTTTTACTACCAATCTTACAATGTACAGAACATTTCTACATATTAGCATTTCTAGCAACTAATATTAAAAACTTGTCTATCAAATTTTGTACAAAATACAATTGATTACTGTGAGATAAATTGAAAAGTTGGCTAGTATATGCAAAAGAAAAAAATCTTAAGAGCTAATAAAGAACATTAATAATTTCTTGAGATAAAGATTCAGTGATTGACGGATGTTCCTTCATTTTTTTATATCAATTTTTTAGACACTCTCGAAGTAAATATCATTCAAGCAGTAGATAAAGTCGTTAAAAAGACGAAGATGAAATTTCTATAAGCATGAAATGAATAATATACACACTTAAATAATTTTTTTTAAAAGAAAATTAAAATTCTACCTTGATAATTTCTTTGGTGAATGCAATAATTAAGTCTTTTAAACTTTCAACAGACGCACATAATGATGAAACACACTCTTAGTGGACATTTAAGAAAAGCAAGTTCAAGGAAAAAATACTATGCCAACAGGATGGCCTTCATTTCTTTTTCTCGAGTGAGACATGTCACGAAAAGCGTCTTTGTCCTGTATTTAATGTCAGCTGAAATTTATGACGAGATATGGAGTCATTTAAATTCAACTTTTGTGCCTTTCTTTAAAAACAAAAGTAAATTGAAGTAACATTTACACAACACGTATATCTTTTCCCAGAAGAGTAAAAAGGCGAATAACTTAACAATTACAAAAGTTATAACCTTAATAATTTAAAAATTATGAAAAGTAAAAAGATTAATGAGCTATTGGCACAGAAATGAGAATCATCTAAATACAGACGTATTCAATTGAATGAGATCAAAAAGTGATCTGATCTGACGATAAAAAAATAAAAAAAATAAATAAAAAAAACTACAGAAAAGGGGAGAAAATATTTCTGGGGTGATGGGCTTTTTACTTCTTGATGAAGGCAAACTTCATTAACCACGAGGTTTTCAATCTTAACTTTTACACTCGAGAGGTGCCTTATAATCACCAATGAAATATTTGTTACACTAAATGTGAACATTTCCATTGCTTAGCGACCCATTTATTCTTTGATCTCCAGGTATTGCACATGTATTTGAATAGATAGATGCGCTTACATACGCATTTTTTAACCGTCGGATTAATCTCGAATGCAAAGGCTTTTATTGTTGTGGCTATTGTAGTTCATTTACGTCGCACCAGAGCTGCACAATGGGCTATTGGCGACAGTCTGTGAAACATCCCAGAGGATGATTCGAAGACATGCCATCACAATTTTGATCTTCTGCAGAGGAGATGGCACCCCTCTTCGGTAGCCCGACGAGCTATGCGCGAAATCGAGCAATTTACGGTAGAACAGTTTAAGGTCTACCNCGTTAAATAAAACTAAGAAAATGTGTGAAGGAATGTGCCCCCTATAAAATATAATAACTTCCTACTGACAAACATTCATAGTTTTTAGAAAAAATGTAATTATAAACTTTAATTGTGTTTTTCTCAAAATGACAATTTTGCTGTTTTTTGTCTACGGAAAACAAGATAACTCAACTAATTATAATAAATTTGTCTTCAAACTTTCAGAGATTGTTTCTTGTATTGGTGGTTATGTAACAGACCTCCAGAATTCAGATAACTGTATTATTTTTTGTTTTATGAGATATTTTGCAGTAGATAATGTGAAGAAAATGTGAAAAAAAATGGAAAAATATGCTTAACACTCCATAAATTTTTTTAATTTCATGCTATTATTTAAGTTGAGGTTCATAACACTTCAGAGGGTTATACGAAACGGCTCAAAAAGTTTGATAGCTGCATGTACAATAGTTTTTTGTGTAGAGTGTTTTCCGTTAATGAGTTATTTTCATTAAAATTATCTAAAAAATACTCTTTAAACAAAAAATTTCCTGTNGACATGCCATCACAATTTTGATCTTCTGCAGAGGAGATGGCACCCCACTTCGGTAGCCCGACGAGCTATGCGCGAAATCGAGCAATTTACGGTAGAACAGTTTAACGAGTTCCGATACCGTAGACCCTCTGACCCTTCGTAGACAGATCAAAGCGGTCACCCACCCGC